AAACTAATTAAAAATTAAGATAGTTGACTATGTAAAAATGACATATAATAGAACAGTAGGTTACCAAAAACAGTGGAACACAGACATTACAAAATCTCTTAAAACAACTAGGCATCTTTCAGCAACAAAAGGTTACAGTTAAATTTAAAACAGATCAGTAGAGGAGCCTAGAAAACCAAGTGGGCTTCTAAACTGAAAAAAATGGCCATTCAGTGGAAAGCAATTAATTAAGGAGCAGAAATGACAAGCCTCACTCACTCAGGAATTTCAGAGCTCAGGTACAGCTGCTGAAAAGGCACCTCTCTCACAGGTCTGAAAATGCTGGGACACATAGGAGGGTCTCTGATGAGAAAGAGGCCCTTTGGATACCCTGGTCCCAAACTGTGAGTGGCATTTAAGATGATCACCATCACTTTTAATTGGACCTGGAAGTGTCAGGAGTCAGGGTAAACGAGTCACATGCTTTCTCTATGTGGCTCTCATGAACCATCTGCCAATGGCAGCATTTGGAGACTTTCCAGAGGCAGCCCTGATGTAATTAAGGCAAATGCCACCATGGCCATATCTACAGTCTTCAAGAAGTTCTCCTATTTAGCTCCGTTCCACAGTAGCCTTTTGCTTATATAGTATGAATTATTTATCTAGAATTACTTAGTGTTTACAAGTTTATTTCTAGAAGTGGAATCATTTAAAAGCAGGGCATTTGATCTCCGGCTTATGTCGATCTTCATTAAGCCCATCTCATGTTAGTTCAACAGAAAAATGATCTGAAGGAAAGATAGTGCAAATATCAGTGCATATATCTGAACCGGTTACTGGTTGCATTAGGTTGTTAGGTCTCAAGTATCAGATGGGTGCTGACATAAGGTGCACAGAGATACGAAGAACAAGCTTTAAGGCTCTGATATTGAAATGAAGAAGTTCAGTGAATTGTTTCACAAACATATTCTCCATCTATATATTCTTTGCAAATGGGTTGGTATGGTATTGGTAAAAATCTTCCACTAACCCATAATATCAAATATTATTTACACATGTTAGAAATATTCTTTTCTCAGAGGTGGGAAGTGAGCAGTTTTTCGTCCCAGCACCTTCCTACCCCTTATGTGGCAACTGTCAGAGAAGGCCAAGCTTTTGCGGGGGATGGCTGCTATATATGTAGTAGTGGAGTTTAGGCCACATTTAATGAGAAACAAGGTGGTTTTTCTGGATGTGGTTCAGACTGGAATTCTGAATTGCCCTTATATTAGTCCAAGTATTGGTGTTTGTAGATGATAAAGTAAAAATACTATACTAGTAATACCTCTTCTTAGAATTTTAAGCGTGAAATACCAGCAATTAAGGTTTCACTTGTTAAAAACAGTATTGATAGTTATCCCATACTATCTTAGTTTAATACTTTATTGCAGAGAAAATATTGCTCACTGAAATGTTTCATGCATACATTTAAAGACAAACCTAATCCTAATCTCACAAGACCGAATCTAAAACCACCTTGGAATAGAAAAGCCATTTCTCTGTGCTGTAACATGAAGCAATCTGCTGAAGAAAATTTTCAGAAGATGGTAACTGCATGGTACCAGAGGAATCCTCAAATTCTTAAATGTGTAAAATGAGCGGGTTAAATTGTTTTTTTGAGGGAAAGTTTCTTAGCGTTACATTTCAGATATAAGCTAACTACTTGTATGGTATAGAGAAATGTCACTAGTGCAAGAAGATCAGAAGGGATGGAATCTGCATGATAAAGAACAACCGACCGAAAAACAATGCACCACACAACTTTCACAGAGATATGCACCTTTAAAGTTTTTCTGCAGCTCTGCAATGGAAACCACTGCTCCTCGCCTTGGCCTCCCAAGGTATTTTGTGGTCTGTTAATGCAGCCTGTGGGCAAACCTATCAATTCTAATCTTATGTGCTGCTCCTGTAATCGCCATAACACATTTGTTCCTTGCAACATCCAACAGGAAGTCAAGACAGCTGCTTGGGAATGCCAAACATACGAAGAAGCAGCACAAAAACACATAGCTCAGGCGATTTATAAAAGAGCTGGGAAAGAATACGAGAGAGGAATATTGACTGCAGTGGCCAGCAGCCTTCTTCACTGAGTGAGGCCATCTAGGTATTTTTTCAGCTGACTCCATCAAGAGCAGTCTGAACCAAGGATTGTTCCAGTATCTTCTTGAAGAGGTCCACCTCTCTATGCAAGCAACAAAAGCAGTGCTGAAGCTGAAAGCATTTAACTGTTATGTCAAGGCTAAGGGCCCACAGCAAGCGTTCCTCACGTGTCTTGCTGCAAGCAACAAGAATTTAAAAGCAGTTGCAGACTTGCTACACTGTTGCCCAAAAAGTGTCCTGCATTTAGCTAATACTTTTAGCAAATACTTCACAAGTGTAATCCAAACATGTGATGGGTAGAGACCTGTTCTCCCCCTGCAGAGGAAGGCGGGATGCGCTCCAACCAAGGTTCCATTTAGATGCCAGCAGTGCTTTTTTTGTCATAGAGCACACCGGAACAGAGTTCCAGCACCTTTTTTCGACAGATTTTCCAAGTTTTAAAAGTAACTTTTGAAAATTTGATGTTTGGCCCATGTGGATTTGAATCACCCTGTCGAGTGTAGCAGGTCAGCGACAAAATCATTAAAACGGTGCATGCGGGCTGCTTGTATGTCGAATCCGATGCATGTGTACTTCGTCCGCATTGGTTGTGATGGTGCTGCTCGGCCTGTGATTGGTCGTGTGGTCGCGCGCTGAGTGCTTACTGCAGGCGGCGACTGTTATGTTTTGTTATACAACTGACGTGTGCGTGTGTGTACAGTGATTGACTACGTGCAAAAGGTAAATAATTTCATGAGTTCCAGCACCTTTTTTCTTACAAAAAAAGCACTGGATGCCAGGAAGCACTTCCTGACAGTTAGGACCCCGAGGGTGTGAAATGGGCTTCCATGGGAGGTGGTTGAGGCCCCATCGGTGCGGGTGTTCAAGGATAGTCTGGACATGCACATGGTGGGCAAGTGGTGAGCAGAGCCAGCTGGAGCCAGGGGTCAGACTAGATGGCATGGGAGGCCCCTTCTGACTCGCCCTGTTTCTATGTTTCTATGGCAACTTTCTGTTCTGGAAGGCTTCTCTGTCTTGATACTGTTTTGCATCCACTGCAGAAGCAAGAGGCGAGGCCTGACTAAGTTGCATTCAAGCCTACTGGATTTCCTGCAAGTGCTTCACAGATTCTCACTGCCTTGACGCTTCTGACGACTGTGGCAGAATCTGGCCATCCATTAACTAACCAGAGCCTAGTTAATGGCTTCCAGGCTCCATTTCTTATACAAGCTTGCAAGAATCCCTATCAAGTCTCAAGCAGATGCTGGACTTCAGCCGTAGCCACCTATAAAACAAACTGAGCAGCCACCTGCAGATTGATAATGATGCTCATGTGGATGTGCACTGGAATATATATCTGTCTCAAAGTGACACAATGTAGAAACGACTCTGTAAATTCTACAAATCTATTTCAGAGGCATATCAGAATCAACACGCCAGGTCCACGGTTCCCAATTCGACAAGTGATATGGACATGTAAACCATTTGTGTGCAAAAAAAATCCTCAGCAGGATTGGGGCATAAATGTTTAATGGTAGGTGGCTGGATATTGATTTCTCTGAAGTGAGTTAACTGATTGTTAAAGGTCCTGGAATGATTACAGACCGTCCTGTTGATAAGGGCAAAGCAGGATTCCTAACTATTATGATCCAAAGAGATGTACCATACAGGAATTCCATGCATCACATATTCCTTGCTATTTTAATTAATTAATTCACATGAGTAACAGAGTCCATACAGGGAGGCAATTTCACCAGAAATGCCATGATGGTGCATCCAACTATGGCCAGGTTTTGAACAAAGTGACTTCTGATGTGTGTTACTACATTCTAAAACAGTTTTATTTCTATTCTGCCCAATAGCAGAAGCTTTCTGGGCAGTTTACAACATGCATAAAACACAAAATAAAACAAACATTTGTAACACTTCAATACAAAAAGTAAAAACCAAATTTAAATGAGTGAAAAACCAAATGACATATTAACATAATACAAACAGGGTTGCTAAAAACAGTTGACAAAACCTCCTTCCTCTGCAACGAGGTGTTAAATGCCTTAGTATATAGGTGCCAACAGGATGGTAACCTTGGTGCCAGGTGGGTCTCTGTGAAGAAACTTCCACAGTCAGAGGACTGCCACAAAGAAGGCCCTTTTCCTTGTTGCTGCCAACCAAAGTGACACCCAGAGGAAGCCTCAAATGTTCAGTGCAGTATCCAGGCACAGTGTGGTTGGGAGAGGCAATGCAGTTCCAAACTGCTTAGGGCTTCACAGGTTAAGACCAGCAGCTGCCACTGAGCTTAAAAGCATACAGGCCACCAATGCAAGCAGGCCAGAGACAAACTTGTTTATATGGGCATTCATATTTCTTATTTTTGCCACATTTTTGTCTCCCACCAACATATACGTAAAAGTGAAGCTCATATGTTAATCTTTAGCATTATAAAAAATGGGGGCTGCAATATTTGACTGCTTTAAAAACTGTTAGCTCAAATGGTGGTGCCAACCAAGCAGAAATAATTTTAAAAAACCCCAAAACTTAAGCATTCCTCAGGGGTGGATGGTAAATGGTTAAGATGAAACATTTAACTGCACAACTTTTACTCTAGCATTTTGAAATGTTATACTATCAACAGGTCAATGCACAATTCTTACAAATAAATACAGGTTGGTTCAAGTGAGCTAGATTTTGTAGTGTGCTTTTCTAAAGATTTGGAAAAGCCATTTTCCTCACCAATTACAGAGCACAGCTAAGATTCTAGATGTTTAGTTAGAAAGAATTATTAAATGGAGAAAGCAGAAAGTGTTGACACAATAGTTACCCAGAATCAGAATAAAAAACCCAAAACACTTCAAGATCCTGGAAAGAAGCATACGTGACCAAATTGATGATTTCTTTTTACTTACCTCGTGATTCAGCTCTGCTATCTGATCTTTCAGTTCTCTAATGTACTGACTAGAGTCAGAATTATTAAGCTGCCCCTGAATTTTTCCTTCTTCTTTCTGTTCCAAAAAAGCAAAGAAAAGAGGTTTGATCATGTATCCCAGCTCCAGTATTTCAGCCTTAATTTGCATACCCTTTTTGGAATGGAGTTAGAGCTTTCCACTTGTGCATCATGGATTACTTCTATAACGGCAATGAGGACAAATGACCAAGCCATATTTGGTTCTAACATTGTTGTTGCTTCTGTGAAGCCAAACCAGTTTAGTACCTAGCAATTGTTTTACTGCCTATATGCAAAAATCTACCAACATGATTATAAATCTGTCCCTCCTAATGTGGCTGCCATTGACCTAACTTCTCATTAATCATCTGCTATGCAAATAGCTAACCATTTGTTGAATGCTCATGAGATTTAGCTTCCTGACAGCCTCTGCATCCCTCTGGGATAAAATGAATTCCAGATGGATAAAAAATAAGACTTAAAAGCAGTGCCATTTCCACTGCTGAGACAAACCACCACCATGAAGTGTGGGTCAGGAAATGCCCTGCACACGAGGACTTCCTACATGGAACTCACTCCCATGTAGTAAGGAAGCATAAGAAACAGGAATTGTTAGCATCCAGCATATTGCTGCTAATAGCTGGAAAAGCCAACACCTGGAAGCAATATCACAAATGCTCGAATTCTTCAAAATAAGCAGGTTATATTGCAAAATCCAGATAACAGCTTGTGTGGAAAGATGGGTTACATGGGAAACCAGAGCCTACTTATCTATGCCAAGTGTATGCATGTGTTTGTGTGTATGAGAGAATGTGTGTGTTGCTTGTATATATGTATATAAACATACACCCCACCTACTTACTACTCCTAGACTAGGAAAGGTGGGAAGTATAGAGTGAAGAAGGACTTAGCAAACAACTTCTTTGTCTGGGGCACGGTGCCATGAAAGCTGGAGGATTCTAAAATTTCCTCAAAACTTGGTAATGCATGGCAAAACCAAGATTACATCAGAATCACCTTTTGGAGAAACAGATGTGTCTTATTTCATGGCTAGTGCTCTTATTATCCTCCAAGGCTGCTCCTAAGATTACTGAACTAGATAATCCAGTAACAAGTAAGTGCTATTTGGGGGCACATCTTGGAAGTTAGTTATGCAGAAGAAGCCTACCTGAGCCAGGACTGCCTTATCAACTTTTGTGACATGGTGATGACATTTTGTTCTGAACACCTAAATTTTCACCAGGGCAGTTGTGGGGGATGTGTGTCCTTTTGGTGACTGGATGATTCATTCTAGGCTTTCAGAACACACATCACATAGCTTAAAGAGTAAAAAAAAGTTTCCTGTAATTGCGAAAATGGAAATTCTTTCTTTAGAACTTCAGGACTTGTAAAATGCTTTGTGAAGAACCCTACCGATATTAATGAAAGATGTTGTGAGACTTATTTCCTTGGAAGGTAAGAGTTTACTGTTGGGAAGGTACCTTTATTTTTCCTGGAAATATTTCATTAATGCAGGCCAGCACTGAAAGATAGTTCTGCAGCACATGATAAAGCAGAACAATACCGTATGCCTTACGCAAACCCGAACGCTTTTTAGTTACCAGGGGTGCAAATGTGGAAACTACACAACACGAAGAACATTTTTGCCTGCTACTCAGTATTAAGAGATTACCATGCTTTTAAATTTTATATGCATATCTGAATACTGCAAATATGACTGAGGTCCTAATATCAGCCAGCATTTTCTCAGATGGGATGACCATTTATAAAGCAAAGGAACCAACAGGAACAGAATATGGCTGGCTGGAACAGCAACAGATCATAGAAACATAGAAACAGAGCGAGTCAGAAGGGGTCTCCCGGGCCATCTAGTCTGACCCCCGGCTCCTGCCGGCTCCGCTCACGACATGCCCACCATGTGCATGTCCAGCCTGTCTTTGAACACCCTCACCGATGGGGCCTCAACCACCTCCCGTGGAGATTATTTCACATATTGTAAAATTATAAAGGCAATGTATAAGGAAATGTTATTTTCCTTATTTTGGGAAAAAAAACCTTTCTGTTGCGTCCCCTGACAAGTGTTCTAGAACTGTGATTTAATCTAGGGACTTGCAAGTAAAGTAATTTCAGTAGTAATGTGGGTGTAGCAATAACCAAGCACATCGTACATGTTTAATACTAAAGTGTCTTACACTTACACCCAGACATTTCACAGAAAGGTTGTTTGGTTTAGGGTAATTGCTCTGAGCTAGCAGTGGAACTCCTGGATTCTCAGATAAGTACAACTACTTGAAAAGTATCTGGTAAATTGTTGCTTCCATTTATCTTGATCAGCAGCTTTAAACTGCCCTGCAGTTCTCCTCCGCTGTAAGCAACAGTTCAGGTGAGCAGGAACAATCTTAGAGAATTCTATAATGTGTTCAGTCCTAAAGCAATGCTGAAGATTAGTTATAGCAGCAATTAGAATTGGCAGACTAGGAAGTGGCCACCACGGTTTTAGTTTCAAAGATTTCATAAAAGATCAGACTTAAATGGAAAGATCTGTGGCTTCCTCTCAGAGAAAGACCATTTGTTTGGTTTAAGTTATTGCTATATTCTCACCACTGCTTAAAAAAATAAATTCTGTATTTAAAACACGGTCTCCTAAATGTATGTATTTATTTAATGTTTATACCACCCAACAGCCAAAGCCTTATAGCAGCAAATACATGTTCTAAGATGCCCAGCCCTCTTGGTCATATTTATGCCTTCTTAAAACTTGATGGTTAGACAGTCCAGAAACAAAAATCTACATCCACATTGCTATGCTCATCTCAGTTCCACATATATACATACTCCTGCATTCCTACCTTGAGCTGTACAACACAAATGAATCATGGCTCAATTCAGGCATATCTGTATGATGACTACTAAAGAGCCCTTCCCTATGGTAGCGTTCCAAGCGGTACATCTACAAACATTTTAAAATCTCAGCACTCAAATTCTGGTGTAACAGTGAACTACAAGAATCTCAAACCATGGTTAATGCTGATGAAGCATGGTAACAGACAGCAAAAGGAAAGTTCACACAAGGAGCAAGGAACCCATGTGCAGTTCATGATCCTTTGAACCTGATTAACGGGTAGACAACATTACAGATGCAGCAGAAAGCCTGATGGACATGTTAGGGGCATGGCAATTTAGTCTTCCCCAGATGTTTTGGCCTTCGATTCCCATCAGTCCCAGCCAATATAAGCGATCGCCAGGAATGCTGAGTGTTGCAGTTCGAAGCGTCTAGAGGAAAGCCACTATAGTTGTATCCTGCATCACAGTTCATGTCTCAAACAAAGATGGGACTAAATGACCTCCAAGACCCCTTCCAATTCTAGGATTCTGTGACTGCTCTAAGAAGGAAGGACGGTTGGACAGACGGACAGACAGAAGGCAGGAAGCTTCCATTCTTACTTGGATTTCTAGTTCTGCAATATGTTGCTGGAGTTCTGCCACAGCTGCTATGCTGTCTGCTTCCCGGAGTCTTACAGCCATCACTTCTTCCTTATTCTAGGAATAAGAAAAACCATTCAGAAAGATCCCCTCATTTCTATGGAATTTCTAAGACCATTTCAGGGAAACTAGTTTGAGCCGGATAGCCACATGGCCTTTTATTTATTTATTTAAAACATTTCTATGCCGCCCCATTCGCCGAAGCCTCGGGGCGGCTCACAACATAACATTAAAATATAATACATCCAAATATAAAATAAGTCTCTACCCAACATTACTCCAAGATAATTACCATACTCAAATTAAACAATGCAATCAATAATTTATGGGTATTATAAGATAGCTTTCTTCTCTGAGTCCTTTAAAGACTTACTTGGCCACCCAGAGGATTGCCCATTCCAGATATTTTGCAGTCTTTGCTACTATCTGTTTTTAGCTGTGTTAATTATGTTTTTCCCTTATTTCCCTTATTTATGTTTTTTCTGATTTTATGTTTTTATTCCAATGCTATTGTCTGTTTACGGATTTTTATAAACTGTCCAGAAAGCTTCAGCTGTGAAATGGCATAGAAATCAAAGATTTTTTTTCAAGATTTGTTCTTGCTAAGTTCATATTTAAGATTCAATAATTAAGTATAGCCATTTGTAGATAAAAGTAAACAGAATAATTTTGACTAAGGGAACTAGATGCAATGTTTGACATGTAGTTTGAGCCTGAGAATTAAACAAAAAAAATCAATAACCAACATCGGGGTACCAAGCCAGGTCAGTACCCTGTGCTTTCACTGCAGAATATTAACTGAAGATAAAACAGCTTCTTAGCTAGGACTATACTTTATTGGTAAATGTTATATCTAGTTTTGTCCTAATAAAGGATCATGCCTGCAATTTAAAGGCAACCTCTAAAATAACATTTGACCTTGCAGAACACTTACAAGTCATTCTGGTATCCTACAGATGAGTAAAATCAATACATGTCAAAGAAAAAAACATGTTACACTTAAAAAGGGTTACTAAGTAGGACAGAGGACTGAACACATGACAATAACAAGGTACAAAAGAGGAATGGGTGCAGACTGTATGACGCAGATTCCCCCTCCACCATTATGTTATGTGGGTGCATTCTTCACAGAACCAGACATTTGCCTAGTCCTCAAGGTGCATCGACACATCAGACTCAGCTGCACCCACAGGGAAATGTGCTCATACCATAAATCCCACAATGGTCTCTTAGAAAAGTTTTATGAGTGGGCAAGGCTCTGAAGTGGTAGAAACAGTGGCATACTCAAAATTCTTGAGTTGTCCAAATGGCTTTTTCAGATCTTTCCCCTGCCATCTCCCCTGCTTCCAATGGATTTTGATAATCTAACTCCCCACAACTACACTATCTGATGACCTAGTACAATGCTTTAGCCAGGGTTTCTTTTTAACTCTATCGATATCTAGGTAAGAGTGTTTCCAAAGTACAAGTACTATGAAGCTGGTTTAAACTCTAGCCAATCTTAATTCCAAGGTATTACTGACCATTTAAGGCTATGAAACCTCGCTATTTGGATGAATCACCTGCATTTTATGAGGTTTACACAAATATCCCAAGTGCAGCAACTGTATAAATGAAAGGGCTGCTCAATATGAATGTCACACTGTGCACTTTACTCTGCCTTCAAATAGGCGCAATAATTCTTCAAAGCACGTTGAGGAAACTTGTAGCAGTTTTCTGGGCATACTCTCCAAAAAAAAATGTGCTGCTGTAAAAATCAAATATGATTCTAAAATCCATGATTTTTTAAATCAAAGATTTGTTAGTCTGTTTAACACAGAGAGGCAGTGGCAGTTCTAAATTGGTGCCTGACTGGAGTGATGGGCTGGATGAGGGCCAACAAATCAAAGCTTAATTCAAACAAGACAGAAGTGCTGTTGATAGGCAGGTCTCATGTCAGATGGAGGATATTTGACCTGTCCTGGAGGGGCTGTGCACCCCCTATGGAACAAGGTCTGGAACTCGGGAGTATTTCTGGACCCTGAGCTGTCCCTGGAGAACCAGATGGGCTCTGCGTGCCAGGAATGTATCTTACCAGTTCCACTTAATTTGTCAACTTATCTGGACAGACAGAACCTGCAACAGTAAAATAGCGTCCAGATTGCTAACAAGGACTGGAAGCAGTAAATATATAATACCAGTCCTCTACCAGCTGCACTGGCTGCCAACTGAAGTCCGGGCCTGCTTCAAGGCTATTAATTAATTAATTATTAAAAGCTTTTCTGACCCGTCCACCACTAGCATCTCGGGATGGCTTACAATAAAAATGAGAAGAATAACACAAAACACCACAACATCTGACAATCTGAATCAATAAAACCCCAGTTAAAATCAATTAAACATTAAAATGTTGAGAAAATAAAAAGGGTTTGCCTGACGCCTAAAAGCGCCAGGCAAAACAGGATTGTTTTAATATACAACACCCTAAATGGTTTAGGACCTGAACATCTAAAGGAATGTCTCCATCCATATAAGCCTATCCAGACCCTAAGATCTTCATCAGGAACCACCTTTAAAGGATGCTAGGAAGGCGGCTACCCAGTGCAGAGCCTCTTCAGTTGTAGTGCCCCACTGGTGAAATCAGTTGCCAGAAGAAGATGCCTGCTGCACATTTTGGCATCAGGCAAAGACTTTTATTTTCAGAGTATTCTAACTGTTGATAGCTTTAATTCAATTTTTAAATTCTAATTTTAGTTTTGTATTTTAATTTATGCTTTTTAAAAACATAACTAAAATTAATAATCAGATAAAATAGTTAAAACAATAGTTAACATCACATGATATCAATATAGGTAATGCCAATATAGCTAGTTCTGATCATGATTTTAACTATATCCATTTATTACTTTTTAATAATCCACCATATGTACCTTGCATTCAATCTCTGCTTGCTTTCGCTTCGATTCAGTTAGCTGAGCCAGAAGTTCTTTGTTTTGTGCAGAGAGATGTTCAACCTTCCCTTGAAGATGGGTAATCTCTTGTTCTGCCCTCCGTAAATGGTTGCTATTTATCTGGTTCTAATAAGGGGCATTGGCATGGAAAGAAAATGAAACACATTAGTCCTCAGCCCTATGCATTTGTGGTAGTCAATTATCTATACACTAATGAAAATCTCCTTGTTTGCAAACTGCATAGCTGGCACTGTCATCACAATCACATTAAGACCTAATTATTTACTTGTTGCTGTAAATACTCCATTGGTACAGTACACTATGCATTCACCATGCATGGGGTACTCAACAGAAGAGAAACAGCTCTAGTAGTTTCCCTTGAAAAGTTGCTGGATGAACTAGTTAAGTGTTTCAGATGGGTTGTCCAATGACACACCAAGTGGTCCTGCTGTTAGGATATAGCTGGAGTGGGTGGTTTGGCTTCCTTGTCAGAAGCTGCCAATCATATACTCACTAACTTTTCCTCACCTGTATTTGCTTTGATCTTACCAGAAACTGGAAGCAACAGTGGCCCCTAGGGCTAGAGTAGGAGAAGAATTGCCAGTCTCCAACCCTTAAAAGCTACCTCTTTAAAATCTACACAGGCAGTTTAAAACAGATGCTGCTGCTCGCTGACATCTATCTAGTATAGACTTGTCCTTGATACTGATCATCAATAAGCACAGAGCGAAGATGGGGGCTTGTGTGCGCACACAAAACAGCACTTATGAGAGTGACAGCCAACCTACCATTAGGCCTATGAACAGCCTATAAAAATATTAGTCTTTCCTGTGAATGATCCACCTAAAGAATCCTAGAGTTCTCTATATTTGCAAGTAAGGGATGTCTGCAGTGTTATCTTTGCACGGGCCTAACAGATTTTAAGCACTCTGGAGTAACATGACCTATTCTATTTCTTGAAGTGAAAGCTTCTTTCAGGACTGCAATTCATGCTGTCCAGCTTATCACACCCCATTTGTGGGCAATGACAAGTTAATTTTCCTAAAAGGATGGCATAAATATTATTGTTAGTTAAGTAGTATTAGTCATGCATTCAGGCTGATCATCCAAACTAATTGCAGCTTAGAATACCAGCACAAGCTGGATATCTGACTTCTTTTACTTTCATTTAGCAATCACCTGCATAGCCCAAATACCTCCTCTAAGGCAGCTTTGGCTACTGGGTGGTATAGAAATATGATGATGATGATGATGAGTCCATTGCAACAATTTCCAATGGTTAGTTGTGCTTTCCTGCTGCAACAAAAAAGGTGTCTCTCATGGCACCTTCATAAAAGATGAGCACATGTATTCTGACACAAGCTTTTGTGAACTACAGTCCATGTCATCAGATGCATATGTGCCATGCATACTGAATATAAACCTGAAGCTCTGCATATACTCCTGAAACTGATTCATCGGATGAAGTTGGCTGTACAAATTTATGCAGAGTCTTTAAAGTGCCACAAGACTCTTTGCTGTTTCTCCTACATCATGTTTCAAATGTACTTTGAAAGATGGGCTGACTAAAATGAGAAGCTAAGCTTGCTTACAGCAGGGGCCTCTGAGCTTTGCACGTGTATTTATATGTGCATCACTTACAGGAATGCATTGCTTATTCAAAGCAAACCATTTTACTAAATGCAGATTTGTCTCTATGGAAAGCAGACATTACATTTGTGTTATCACATTGTAAGCAATGACCAAATAGAACAACTGCACCTCCTACTGGCTGAACGGAATAGTGCAAACATTTTTTTCTGTGTAGCCCATACAACTTGCTAGATTAGGTAGGTTGGTTACATTGATTCTTAAGAACCTGCATTGATCTGTGTTTTTCTAAATATTTGTACTGAATTGCTTTTTATTGCTAGAGGATGCACCATCAATTGTTTTAATAACTGCTCTATATTTTTATTCCGTTATTTTTACTAATTGCTTTTACTGTTTTAACACAGTTGTTAAATGCCTTGAGACTTGTTTTAGAGCAGGCTGGATACAAACACTTTAAATAAATAAATGAAAAATGGGGGATATTCTTAAAAAACATGCATATAGGCAGGATGAGCTTTTTTACACAGAAACTGGATCCAAACTCAATTTCATATTTATAGAAGACTCTGACATATATTCACCCAGCCATAAACTTTTAAAAATACACCTAGCAGTTTGAATAGGTCTAAAAGATTGATTTATTTTTGCTGGCCTTACAAGGTTTAATAAGTAGCATGAAATTTCCAAGAGTAGACCAAAAGGCACTATTATGGATTAGAAATTTCACATTTCTATTGCATAACTCCTCTAATGCTGTCATAAATGCATCTACTTCTTCAATGGAAATTTCCACAGTACTTTTTGTATAAAAAAAATTCACGCATCAATTCCACCATATTCCAAGTTTAATCTTGAACTCTACAGAGTTATTTTAGGACTAACCAACAAGTTCTGGTAAAATTACCAATGCATTACAAATTACTGAGGGCTCCTCTGCTAAAAATGAAGGTGTTCATTTCAGAGCAGGACTTTCAGCCCAGAAGTTTTGAGCACGTATATGAATGAAAGCAATAAATGAACTCTGAATTTATTTGAACACAGGGCACCCAACTGGTCCCTACAAAGATTTGGGAGCCAAGGAGATGTATCCAATCCCACACAGCCCAATTAATTTGTCACTTTCTTAATGATGAGGGGAAGAGTGCATACTTGCCCCAAATTAACATTAGTCTAAGAACTGTCTCTGCACTATTAAGACCTGAACATACCCCATGTTTATTCTACTGAGCCAGAATAAATTCTTCACAGAAAACACGAAGTCTCAATTGATCTGAAACAGTACCTATGGTGTTGTAAATCTCATGGATTTCAAGCTAAAAGATAAGGCTGTGTGAGCTGACAGATGTTGAACACAGTGCTATGCAACAAGGAAGTTAAAAATTAATTCTTCAAGCACTGCTTGAACAATTAATTTGGAAGGTAAGAGCAATTACTGAAACAATGGAATCTCTTTGAAACTAGATTTAAAAATGTAACTTTAAAAGCACATCACACAAAATAACTACAACATTTACATCCCCTGCTTCCTCCAACGATCTCAAGGTAGGTAAAGGGGGATATACCCCATGTAAGCTAATAATCTCTCTGTGAAAATGTTTGGTCTTTGAAGTTATGACCAGTAATGCAGGGCAGAAAATTTCACAGTGGTTTCCCCTGCCCCATTCTAGAATTTCATTAGTAGCAATGAACAGATATCAAGTGCAAATACACTATTAGACGGAGTTGGCGATTTCCAAGTTGTAATCAATGTTTCACAGGTGATTATTGCTAGGAAGGTTGTGAGCAAATACATATACATCAACTGAAATATGCTTCACTGTGAAATGAAACTAAGGAGCCCGGACAGTGGAAATGAAGCTTCAACTAAGAGGGAGATTGTTAAACTGCTGAAACAGATGCTGCTTCTTAGCTTATCATTCACTGTTCTTCATGCTGCCAAAATTATTAGCATACTGATCCTTTTCACTACTGTTGACTTTTTCTTATATGTGAACAGTCAGAGAACAATCCTGTGATTCCCAGCAAAGCATCCCAGGGGCTATAGGATTGCTTTGAAAAATCCTTCCAAGATTGGAGGCTGTATTCTGGCCTTGGAAGGGGGAGTTGATGATTTGATGTCCCCTCCTGCAACTCTTACACCTGACAAAGAAAGAAACATACTTGGTGCCCTCTGAGGCTGGAAGAACAACTTTGGAGGCGGAAGAAAAGGAAGGAGGTGTTCTGATCAGAGGGGAGGCCAAACTGGAGAAGCCAGAATATTAGATTTCCCAAGCCTCTCACATTCTTCCCTTGCCCTCCAAAGTGACTTTGCTACCAGGTTAAGAAGCCCATCTAGTGAAAATCAGCGAAGATGGAAGACAGGGGCTGCCTCTGGTGGTCCTTCTACCCCACCTGCTTTGGCCTGGCAGAACCTCAGAAGCTTTCAGGTTTGATGGCTTCCAAGCAACAAAGGCAAAAGAAATACATGCTCTTCCCCTAAAATCAAATTTTTACAAGTATTCCAGTAAAAATTTCTATCTATATAATATTACATTAAGTGTGTTTTAATTTTCTCTCACACATATTTCAGATCATAGATTTGGAACAAGTCTTGGCATTGTTCTTTACTCAAGCAAATGTATTAAATTAGACATCCAACCTTTTCCTGATGCAAACTACACTTATTTGCATATGGAAAAAAATCCTGGAAACCTACATTACTGTAAGTTACCCCAAGAGGTTTAAAAAAGGATGGAGTTTTTAAACTATGGCTCCCACATCCAAACATACTAACTGGTTTTACATGATGTGTGTTCTGTAAATCTTCCATACATTGTAAGCTACCCTGATGGGCCATGGCTTGTAGGTTTCATAGCTACACCTAATTTGCTATGTTATCCAAAACTAGATAGCACAAGCTCAGGGGTAACCCAAACTACTGTAGAACTGCTTGGCAAGGCCAACAAGAAATCCTTGTTGCTCTAGCCAAGAGGCTGCCAGGCAAGCAACTCTGATAGGCATCCCCAAAGTGCATAAGCAGCACTTTGTGGCAGCTCTCAGCAGCTTTCTTTCTTCCTGCCCTGCACTGCCACTGCTCCAGGGGACAGAAATGCAGAGTGGGAGGAGCTATAATTGTTTCATCTGACTTGTGAGTCAGCTCTGCTGATCATGGCTGCTCCATTCTGTGCTGTGGCCACCCACCCTTTTGGCAGGTGCTTGAGGTATGGAGAGAACCTCCATGAGACCCAGTGTGGTGTAGTGGTTAAGAGCATGGGACTGGGACTCAGGCGACCTGGGTTCTAGTCCCCGCTCAGCCATGGAGCCAACTGGGTGACCTTGGGCCAGTCACAGACTCTCAGCCCAACCTACCTCAGAGGGTCATTGTTGTGGGGATAAGATGGAGGAGGAGATGTAAGCTGCCTTGAGCCCTTTGTAGGAAAAAGGCAGGATATAAATGCACTCCCCAGAGAGGTCTGCCTGGCGCCGTCATTATTTGTTTTTCAGCACCAGGTTAAGACCTTTTTATTCTAGCGGTATTTTAATAAGTTTTAATATTGTTTTTTCTATGTTTTTAATTGCAGCCAGTGTGGGTCGGGAATTTTATTTATGCATATTTTAATTATTGCATATGCTAAAATATGCAAAATTATTTACGCTATTTATTTGTAAGCCGTCCTGAGGCTTTTTTGCAATTAGGACAGCATATAAATATTTTAAATAAATAAATCCATCAATAAATAAATAAACCTGCACAACCTCACCAGCGATTTTCTAAGCTTCTGTACTCCTAATATTTAATACTCTTTGCATGACTAGTGCTCTTACCTGTGTTTCCATTTCCATCATCCTTTGTTTTACCTCTTTCAATTCTGCTTGAGTTTCTGCTTCTCGGAGTCTGACTGTCATTAGTTCATCTTGCAGTTCATTTACAGCATTCTTTTTAGGTGGATCTTTCCATCTTCCAGAAGTGCGAACTAGATGGCGCTAAAAAATATTGCTATGTTTTAACACAAAGCCTTAAAAAACCAAACAAATTCTTCTACTTAAAGATGCAAGAAGACGAATTGAACAATCCTGAGTCAACATAAGCAAAACTGGTCCTCATTCTCCCAAGATGCACAATTCCAAGGTTGCTACCTTGAAACCTGAATCAGAACTGGAAGAAGAGGCAGGGTTGGAATTCTTAGCTGGAATACTGAGATCAACATGCCCTGAGATAAGCCAAGAAGCTGGTAAGAACTAGACTATATCTTGCTCTGTGGGAAACACTGTTGAACAAGCAGAGATAAAGCGGGATGGTTGTAACATGATCAGTGTTCCAGTCTTGTGTCAGATCAAAGGATTAAACCGAGTAGCATCTGACATTCCACTGTCTGGCCCGCAAAGAGCAGGAACCACTCTGAGCAGGAAGCTAACTCCATTTGGCAAGGAAAGAAGCAGGGGGATTCAGCTTGGAACCAACTTCTTAGCATAATTAGTATTTCCTTAATACCTGGTATCCTAATTTCATGGTTGATTTGATTTCTGTGATACTCCATTTTTTAAATCACAGAGCCAGCCTAGCTTGCCAGCTTTAACACAAGAAAGACTGTAGTTAAATGCATCTTGCCTTGATTGGCTGGGAAGGAGGCAGCAGGGTAAGTTTGTCTTGCCTCTGACAGCTATACAAAAGCAGAGTCTTTTCAGCCAACAGATACACGTAAGAACAAAAAGGCCTGATAAGGCCTTGAACGTTTTTGCCAATATTATGAACTTCCAAGCTTCCAGGGTTCCCCAGAAAGTCACATCCCTTCCCTGGATTCATAGCCTTCCTCCAAATAACCAATCATATGGTAGTCTACCTGCTTTTCTCAAGGTTTTCTCCCACTCTGAAAGATTTAAATGCCTTTTCAGACTTAGTTACTAGCAATAAACGCTTTCAGCTAAAATATGCTGATATTTTCCCCTGCCCATTTGGCTTTACTCCAACCACTGAAATGAAGCCCTTGAGTCGAAAGAGCGTATATACACCAATATAAAGATTTGCTCAACAGTGGAAACAGCTGCAGTTTCCTCCCATTTTCACACTCCAGAACAGGGCAGCATTACTTTGCAGTTTGATTCTCCTTTACTCTTCAGTAAATGAATATAACCAGGGGCTGATGTTCACATTAGGAATCTTGAAACTTGAAAGCATCATGGGTACTCTCACAAGATGGTCATAAAAAAGCTACTATGGTGGATAAGATCTGTCATGAAACAATTCCCAGAAGGCAAACTAATGATGCTAAAAGCAAGTTTGATTATCCAAGAACCTATGAATAAGGCAGAAATGGATCTGAGCTCCAAAACATTCCTTTTAATCAAAGATGGAAAGGGCAGCACTGCAATTCGCAGCATGCCAGCCTCCTATTTAAAAAAAAAACAAGTAAAATAAAAGCCAGGATAGGCAAGGAGTCATGTTGGAGATCCCAGGTATAAGTCTTCTGCAATTGCAACTCCATATCTTGCTCCGGTACAGAGCGACTTAGTGAAAATTCTTAGGGCTGCAAGACTTTCTGCAAGCATAATATTCACATGCAGTGCTTTTTTTGTCAGAGAACGCACCGGAACAGAGTTCTGGCACCTTTTTTCGACAGATTTTCCAAGTTTTAAAAGTAACTTTTGAAAATTTGATGTTTGGTCCACGTGGATTTGAATCGCCCTGTCGAGCGTAGCAGGTCGGTGGCAAAATCATGAAAACGGTGCATGCGGCCTGCGTGTGTGTCGAGTCCAAGGCATGTGTACTTCGTCCGCACTGGTTGTGATGGCGCTGCTCGACTTGTGGCGCTGCTCGGCTTGTGACTGGTCGTGTGGTCGCGCACTGAGTGCTTACTGCGGGCAGTGAACATTATGTTTCGTTACACAACTGACGTGTGTGGGTGGGTGTACAGTGATTGACTACGTGCGAAAGGTAAATAATTTCATGAGTTCCGACACCGTTTTTCTTACAAAAAAAGCACTGTTCACATGTCTGACATACAGCTATCTCAGCTGCTTGCTTGCTCACTCGCTCTCTGTGTTTGTAGCTATACATATTTAGTTATCTCACTTGCAGAAAGATGCGCAAGAACCATACAGGCCAGAAATTAGCACAGACACTTATACTTTCTGCACTGGAAACAAGGACTCATTCACTCTTTCATCTTTGCATGGACCCCAGCTTTGACTCTCACACCTCTCATCCATTGATCTGCAAGATTTATTGTCAAATCAACTGTAGGGTTACTTGATTTGCATGCCTTGATACATAAACCTACCTGCCAGTGTTCTTCCAAATCTTTAACTTGTTGTCGAAGTTCTTTTAAACCCATCAGAGCTTCTGCTTCTCTTAGCTTCACTGCAATCAACTCTTCTTGAAGACTAACAATATTATTCTCATCAGGCAAAGAGGTATTCCTCTGCAACAAAATAAGCTCTTAAGAAATCAAGTGCATCCATGGAGTATTGGCACTGTATGATGTAGGGCAGAATGAAAGGAACTCTAGACCACCTAGTTTAAAATCTCCAGAAACTACAGGATATTGGGAGGTGCTTTCAAAGTTATAAAATACAAAAAGCAAAATACAAAAGCAGTACCAAATAGAATTGTACTGATATCAAACTATTGCTAAATATAAAGAAAATGCACTTATGTGCATTAAATTATCAAGAACTATACATAAAACAATGCAACAGTTTTAAAGGAGCTGTTATACTGATGATATTATACTCCCAAAATAAACCAATGCTTGGAAAAACCTCCAGATGACGCTACAAGCAGACCATATCCATAACAACTAACCTATCTGTTCTTGATTTTACTAGATGCACACACAGCTCAAAGCAGCTAACCAATGATAATAAAATTAATAAATAATAAAAATAATCAATTACGACACACAACAGTTCAAGTTATAATAAAAAGAATTCAAATTACCAAAATTAATTTTACAGAGTAATTTGGTATAAAAATAGGAAGAAAACTTTTCTGCACACCAATTATTTAATGAAATAAGCTTTAAACAAGCTGCAAATATATTCTTAAGAGATATTTCTCTAGAGAGCAAATTCTACAACCTTTCAAGGTACAAAAGAAAAGATCCAACTCAACTGCAATTTCTGAAAGTGCTGGTCCATATAGAAAATTGTTGAACACAGTGGGTGGATAGGATATTACGCATTGATATGATTGTTCAAATATCCTGGTACCAAACCATTTGGAAACACATGATCTCTGCAAGACCCAACCTTGCAACGTTCAATCAAAACTGGCCCAAATTTAACATTAAGTCTAGGTGCTACAGAAAGCTGTGCCCCATTCTAAGGATGTCGAAAGCTCTAAGAAGCATTCTGGGCTGACTTGCCTTTTCCATCTCAAGAACCTTATCTTGCATTTCCTTCAAGGCACACTGGGATTCTGCTTCACTCAGTCTTGCTTGCACCAATTCTTTCTCCAACTGCAGCACGAAGTCTTCACTATAGCGGGGACTGCACTTGTGCTAAAGAGTAAATGCAACATTACCATTAAGAGAAGAAAAGTACATATCTAGATAGCTAAAAAAAAACAAGAGAAGAAATATGGATTTTAAAAAAGAAACAACATGCGTGTTGCTTGAACAGTCTAGCCTTCTGTCTACAATATAGGTCTATTCAGACTAGCAACACCCCTGCAAACAAGGAGATTTTACTTGAATTAGGAATCAGGCACTCACAGATCATGAAATTCTACCAGATTGCCTCAAGTTCCATTTAACAGTGATTGCTTTTTTTAAAAAAAATACCCCACACCTGAGGTTTAAGTAGTGCAACAAGTTGTTTTGGAAAGCCATGGAAACACACCTCCAGTTTTCCCATGTCATGGTTCGGTCACCCTGTGAGTCAGAATTGTCAGCAAATTGTGGCGCCACTAAAGATTTGTTCCAGTCAACAAAAGTATACCCAATCCTGAAGCTATAACAGAAGTATTTAAAGGCTTAAATATTTTTACTTCTCCGGCTAGCCATTAAGTCATTGTGTTTTTCCGAGCAGAGATTATCTGAGTCAGCCAGTCTGCTGTGGTGACTAATGAAAGGCTGGTCTTGCACTCCGAGGCCATCTTTATTTGGCACAGCTGCCAGAGCTGTCCCTTTCACGGCAGAAAGTAACAGACCACTCACGGCAAGCAGGAGGCTACTCATCACAGTAACAGATTTTCATTTGTGCCACCGTTGCTTCTTATGGAAGGCATGGGGTGGACGCTGGAATACAGGAAGCTGGTGCTCACTGAGCTAGGCCATCAGTCCATCTAGCCCACAGACTAGCAGTGGCTCTCCAGATTTTTCCAACCCTACCTGAAGAAGCTGGGAATTGAGCCTAGGGCCTTCTACATGGCAAATACGAGTTACAGGCCTTCCCCTACAATTTCAGGAGGTCTGGAGGCCACATGTACATTGCTGGCCAATGAAAGTCACCACCACTGAAAATTATGGGGGATGTACATCACGAACCAGCACCCTTCTTGTGCCCTTCCCCAGTTTCATAATTCCAGTCAGGATTTCTGCCATGCAAGTGGCAGCCCAGGAATTAGAAAAGGGTCAGAGAAGTACTGACTATGCTATCCTGGTATGCATTTCTTTATGATGCATTAACAGAGAGGCAGGAAGGGCAGCAAAGGTGTCCTGTCTTGCAATGGCCAGTAATATCTCATTCCAAGTAGACTTTGCCTACAGAGCAACTGAAAGAACTGGTGAGACCTGAAATGCCTCTAGGACTCTTTTCAGTCTTTCCTATATAATAATGCTCACATTGGAGTTTGGTGAGTATTACATGTCTTTTTTTAATACTGAACTCACCATTTAGTAATGTGGAAGAAGCATATTGCTAAGTATAGCACTCATGCAACAATTTGCTAAACTTTAGAGTTAACAACAACTGAAAACTATCTTTAAGAAACATCTATTCACAGAAGAGACTATTTAATTTGAAGGCACAACTCTACCTTTATATTTGGTTAGGTTGCTTTTATTTATTACATAGCCTTATTTTAAAAATGACTGTTACATATAAAGGGCATTCTTATATCTTTTGTGAATGCATTATTTTAAAATCTAGCATGGCATATAAAAGTTATATATACTACTTATATACCATTGTATATAATAACTTCCCTAAATGGCTTACATTTAATACTGCAGTACATGAAGACAAAAACTTATTTTCATAATATCTTTACCTTATTAGGTTGCAATGCCCCAACTAAGTACAATTAGCTCGTCTAAGTGCAGCAACTTGCTTTTAAGACCATGCACACTGGAAGTTGCAAGTGGGCAGAGTTGCAAAATTGGACTTCATTGAGATATCGCCTTGCACTCAAAAAAGGTCAAGTCACTGTGGCTGAGAAGTCTGAATACGTGCAGGCAGCACCCACTTTAAAAATACTGGCTGTTTTATATAGCTCACTCTTCCTTCCTGTGGCAGCTGTCCTCCATTTCTCACTACATGTCCATCAACAGTCTTGGTCCCAGACCATGCCAACTTTCTTCTTACCCTTCATTTCATCACCAGCCACTTAGAAAAAGTGATTTGGTTCACAGTTAGCAAGTTTCTCAGTTAATTCCTCTATCCTGCATCGTATACCAAGAAGTTCAAATTCTCCCAAGGTACTTAACAGGAGTTAAAAGGAACACAAAACATAGAAACTTGAGTATCACAACATTAGGAACATTGCTACCTAGAATTTACACAGTTTACACCTCTCAGAAATGAATGCACACAGGAACAGAATTTGCACCCTGAAATCTGTACATTATTAAGTTTCTAAAACTTCATGCAACAGCAAAAATGAATTAAAAGTGTGCACAATTGAAAATTGTCCACAAACACGTTAGTGAATGGGAGAAAAAGACACACAATGGAAAAATTAGCCAGAAAATATACATGCAAAGCTCATGATCTGAAATGAATGAGATTTGAGGCTGAAATCAGAGAACCTCAATGAGCCTGAGTGTTCATGACTGACATATCTCTAATCAGAACCTCAAAACATCTTTCCCAAGTACACTGCCCATCTCTATATCCCAGACCAATTATTTAGACCAGCTACATTTCCATTTCTTCCCAACACTAGTCAAATACTTTTAATTATATGTGTATATGCCTCTTTGCAGAAAAGTAGTTGAATTCCAAATTTTATTCAAGATGTGTAGTCCAACAATATAATGGAAGAGAACTGCATTATTCCTTGTAGAGACATTACCATTAAGCTTAGATTTAAGAACAAGGCAGAAATCCTTTGCATTTTTGCATTATCAGTTCCACCATTCTAACTTATGCAATAAGATTATGGAAGACATTTGTCTAGAATGGTTTTTGTACATAATAATGTATTGGTCTTCTTACAGTCTGCAGAGTAAACAGAAATGTGGAAAGGCAAAACTACTGAAATCATAAAAACAACCAGAAATTCTACAGGAGATGGCCTTGTGAAATAAATGCAAAAAGATCTTACTCAAAGAAACCATTACATGGATGTTTACTCAGTACTGCAAAGATTAGGCTAAAACCTTTTCCTTATTATCACTGTGAAATCATTTGTTGTGTAGTTCAACTACATTTTCTCCTTGGTTAGTATTGTAGGGATTGCTGCCTGAGTGGGCAAATGTAAAAGTCCATGGAGGCAGGTATTTCCACTGGGTGGTGCCCTACAACTTTGAAATGGCTGCCAGCACTCCCTGGAAAACAGCTGAACTAAAGGAATCACTGCAATTGTGACCAAACTGCACCCAGTTCAGGTAACTTCTGTGGTCACTTTATACATTAAACAGCAACTTAATCTTCATTTGCAGAACTCATACACAACATCAAAAGGACTATTTTGTGACAGATACTTTCGCATTGCTTTACAGAAAATAATTTACAAAATGTAACAGATACCAGGAATAACTCGTGTTAAATTAAATGGTGATGCTTTGGGCATTTTATGCATGTTGAGAGAGCTATGGACCTGGAAGAACAGCTCACCCATGCACTGCCCTTACTGATCTCATTATCAGTGGCCACAGCAAGCAGGCATATAGTAGAGATGTAACACTCAATAATATGCATTAGATACTGGCTGTGTCCAATTAATGCTTCCTGCTGAAAGAATGGATCCCACCATCAGAACAGGGAGCTTCCCCTGCATCTGTTCCGTAGGGCTGGGGTCCCTCTGGAGCAGATCTGGGTAGGCATAGAGGAGTTCAAGAAGAGTTGAAGTCTGCACGCAGACACTGCATCTTGCTCAATGACTCTAGCTTTGCAAATGGGATTTTTCCCTGAAAGTTAACTGCTACTTGTTGTAAGTAGTACTTGTTACTACTATTTGTTGTAAGCCGCCCCGAGGCTTCAGCGAATGGGGCGGCATAAAAATGTTTTAATAAATAAAATAAATAAAATACTTATTTTTACTAAGTAAACCACAGGACCTCAAATTTGCTGAAACACTTCATGGTTACCATACTGCTTTGCAATCCTTACCCTGATGTCACTGTAGAAAGAGGGTTTAAACATACGCAGAGAGTCCAAGAATCCATACCTGGATTTACTCCAGCTCTTAAAAAGCATGAGAACAAAACTTTATTATGAGCATAGGAGATGTTGTGCCTGTACAAAAGTTATCATCATGTTCATGAACTTGCCGCCTTCATGGTATCTTATAAATAACCATTCCAAAACCAAGAATTTTCTTCCATTTTATTAACTGCTACATTGCTCTGTAGTATTCGTAAGACCTGCTGCCTCGTAAGCAGTATGTCAACTGCCTAACTGCAGTAGAAAGGAACATGTTTGCCTTCTAGAGAAGCTGTTTTCCTTTTGCCTGTTTAACTCCAAAATGTACTATTCTTTCTTCACAATATCTAGGTCAGGTAACAGGCCATCAGACAGGCATCTGTAGTAGTTACTATGGACTGACAGTGAAGAAGCAGAATAGGGATGGCAAGGTTTTGTTATTTTACGTCTAAGGAAACAGATGCCTAATACATTTTGCAAAGCATACGCCCGTATTTATTTTCCTAAAGTAGCATGTATAGCATTACCTTCCTCATGCCTGCAGGACAGGGGTACATGTTACCTAGATCAACCAACATGGTCAACTAGCATAAGTCCAGATGTGTATTACGGCTATCAAACATGGCGGCAATGAGTATTACAACTGGACAGCTGAGTATATGCTGTAGGTATTGCAACTCAGGCTGCAACTCAACAAATTGACCTTATTCCTTTGAATCCTGCCACACTGCAGGAGGGTCAGAAAGTATGGATTCCCATATGCGGTTTTCTTTAATCCCTTTCATATGCTTCTCCTATGTGTTACAGGGCCTGCTTGGGAACCGACTAAAGCAGGAGTTTGGGACTCGTGAACAAACAAACTCAGACAGACACAGACAGGAGCCACGGTTGCTGCATCTTCTGAAGCAATGGATGATTTTAAAGATGCAGCTTCAGTTTCTGGATTGCAAGCTGGTCATTCCAGTTTGGACAAATTAATACATACAAGAAAAGCAGCTACATTTTATGAGCAAGTGCAATTGCCCAAGTTAATTTTTATAGAATGCTGCATATTAATGCTGAGGCATAATCCAGATAAGACGGAGGTCCTGATGGTGGGTGGTTCAGCCTTCCAGGTAAGTGACTTTCGCCCTGTCCTGGACAGGGTTGCACTCCCCCTACAGGACAGGGTGCGCAGTTTGGGAGTGCTCATCGACCCAGAGCTGTCCCTGGAGTCTCAGCGGCAGCAGTGGCAAAGGGCGCTTTCCTTCAGCTTTGGCTGATCCACCAACTGGGCCCTCACCTGGATGAGCATTGCCTAGCAACAGTGACCCATGCTCTGGTAACGTCCTGACTGGATTACTGCAATGTGCTCTACGTGGGGCTGCCAAGTCGGTCCAGATACTTCAGTTGGTTCAGAATAGAGCTGCAAGGATGGTAACAGGGACCAGCAGGTATTCACATATTATGCCAGCCCTCTGTTGGTTACACTGGCTGACAATTGAAGTCTGGGCCCAATTTAAGGGCCCTAAACCTATCAAACCCTAAACAGCTTGGCTCCAGGATACCTGAAAGAGCACCTTCTTCCCTATGTGCCCTCCTGCCCCTTGAGATCTGAGATGGAAGGCCTGGTCCAGGAGCCCTCCTTGAAGGAGATCAGGAGGATGGCTACCCGGAGAAGGGCCTTGTCTGCAGTGGCACCTAGACTATGGAATACGCTCCCCAGAGAGGTTTGCCTGGTGCTTTATTCTTTTTGGTGTCAGGCGAAAACCTTTGTATTTTCCCTTTATTTTAATGTCGAGTTGGTTTTAACTGGGGTTTCATTATCTTGAATTGTTGGCTGCTGTGCTTGTTTTGTTTTATTTTATTTGTTCTTTTATTGTAAGCCGTCCTGAGACATCAGTGGTGGACAGGGTAGAAAAGCTTTAAATAAATGAATAAATAAATAAATAAATAAATAAATAAATAAGCTATACAAATACTTTGTCTGTTGAAACACAGTGTTGCTGAATAATGAAAGAAATGCAGCAAAAGCAGACAAGTCTGTGTGGAATAAATTCACTTTAACTGTGCTGAAGCTTGAAAACTACCTTCACGTTTCAGAAAGCCCAGAACTCCCAGCTTACTGCTGAACTGGATAGTAAGTACTTACTGAATCATAATGCCAATTATTTTCATAGCTGATTAAAACATGCAGACTTCCCAACTATATAAAACTAATCTCAGTATATCAAGATTACAAAACATCTGTAGTCTTCTTATGACAAAACTGTAAATAATAAGACATGCAAAATTGGATTGGTTACATTTATATACGCATGATATTAATTTTAAAGGAAGCTATTAGATAGCTATTGTATATGTGAGTAAGTACAATCAATGGAGTAAACTTCTGGTTGCCATACATAGAAAAACGTTTGTGCCAACCCCAAACTGCTTTTAAATTTGACCAAGACTCTGTGTATGTGTAAGGGTGTAGTAGAGGGAGAGAAGGAAGGAAGTAGAAATGTAACCATCTTATATTTCTTGTTTACCCATTTATACCAAACATGATCCTAGTACATTTTCTTGGAAGCTAACAAACTGAAAACAACAGGATTTGGTTACTGGTAAATATAGTTCCTGTGAGCTTGGGGAAGCGACAGCTTGCACAATGGGGCTTTTTGCATTTTTACAAATGAAGTCAAACCAGTAGTAACACTGAGCAGGGCAGGTCAACAAAACCTGCAGAAGAAAGTTTCGCTGACCTGTCCTAAACTGTAAACAAGCATTTCTGCTCAAACCTGGCATCATTTTCAGAAGTGCGAAACCCTCCCGCACAAGTGGTCACTTCTGCAAGCACAGGAGAACTAGTACAGGCAAAGGGGCCCCTTCAGCCATGGCTCGGTGGGCAGGCCAACGACTGTTACCTAATGATTAATCTGAGTTGCCTTCAGTATACTTTACATCCACATGGATATCACAGACAGCAATATTTGAAAGACCAGGATCATGCTCGGAGCAACAGAAATAAATGCAAGTGAGAGAGAAAACAGAAACAGATGAAGGTGCTGCCAGATGCCTTACCCATTGCTGCTTCTGCTGGAGCTCCCTGATGGTATTCTCAGCTTGCTCCAGTTTAGTCATGGCCTCATCACTCTGCTGTTTGAGGGTGGCCAGCTCCCGTTTTATGAGGTAGTTTTCCTCAGCCTCCTGGGCCCTTGTCACTTGTCCCTTAGGACATAATTTTCTTTTTAAAGCAATTGGAGGACCGATCCAGGGAAGATCGAGAGTTTTACATATTTATTCTGCCATATGGTTAAATGTCTTGCAAATCATCACAGAACTGCGACAGCCACTATCTAAATTTAGTGAAGTAAAGCAGTTTAGTACTGCATTACATTAAAATGTTTAGTATTCCTAAGCAAGCTCAATTGTGTACTTGCATTCAGTAGCACTCTGCTCATGCATTTATTACTCCATTGTGCATGCACATCTGCTATGGCTTTGTAGTGATCTACAGAATTAGTGCTGAAACAAAATTAGAGCCCACCAATTATTACGAATTTCAGATGTCATTAGCAGTGTGTAGGCATGTATCTAAATATTATTCTAACATAGAATTGCAACAGTCACTCAATTAACTAGAGGAGAGACGTTTCATTTCGAAAACGCATGTAAGTTAAACATGCATTAAAAACAGAAAGCTTGGTTTTGCAAGTTGGGAAGAGTTTTAGGGTGAAATACTAAAGAAATATACCTGTATCAATCTATCTGCCAAGGAAGCACTTTCCTACAAAAGGAAAAAAAGTTCAGACAGGAATAAGAGAAAAAAAGGAAAACAAAGCAACAAAGTCAAGAGAGGAGAATTATGCCCACGCTCTACCTACTTTCTGTACACAATAAATTTCAAGTATATATTTTTGGACAGCCAAGACAACACAGATTAATGGCCAAACATTGCAGCAGCACAGGGAAATATCTGATTGGGGGGGGGGAGTCCAAATTCAACACTACCCATTTAAAGGATTAAATAAGTCTAATGTTCAGTTGGCCACATAGAATTATATAATTTTATGCAGAACTCATTCAGTCAGTGTTGTGGATAGAAAGTCGGTATAATTGTACACACTCAGAACATTCAGCTAATCAAAGTGGAGTGGGTGCCATTTGTGCCATTAAGAGGTAGGAGTCTAGTGATCCAAAATGTTAGGCATGAAGAGCAGTTGAAATATGCAAGTTAAATCTGAGCTACACTCAGCTAAATTCAGCAGCAATTCTTTGCCATTTTATCACTTAAACTTTCCCTGCTCAGATTATGTAACAGGAAAGAACTTTCAGTATCATCCAATTTGCCCCATTCAGGCAGTTTTCAGTCCAGAGAGGGCCACCTTAACCCAGCAACAGATCAAATAGCTCTACCACCATTTGAAAACTGTTGTTTCAAGTTCCAAAGTCAGAGTTAAGCTAGAAAAAGGTTGTAGCTGAAGATAAAAGCTAGACTCATTTAAAGCCAAGGTGAACATTTCTTAACCAGTATAAATTAGGCAGAAGCTATCCATATGTTGAATTTGAACAGAAACGATCCACAAGTTATCTGAATTTGAACAGATAAAAAAGAATTTGCATCTTACTTTTCTACTTTTATTTTATGATGGGGATGAGATAGTCCTCAAGTCCTATTCCCCTTGGAATCCAGGATATATATTGAAAAAACGGATTAACTTCATGTTAAGAAGGGCTGCATCTCCTTCCGCGGACAGAGAAGACATACTTTTTGGGCAAAACATTTAAGCAATTCTGCCATCTGTAATTTCTAAGACAAGAATGTTATGGGAAGTCCTCCAAAGGAAAGAGAAAGGCTCAAGTACTAGAAATAACTAGAACTAGGAACCCTACCAACACCCACCAGATGCAGGATGGATGGGCTTATGGAGAAGGATGCATGTGACAGTATAAAAGGGAAAGCTATCAAAGGAATGACAAAAGATATCCTAAGCAAGCCACTTGGGCATAGAACGCTGTTGCCATTTAAGGGGTCCTGAAAACCAGATGCAACTAAGGATTCCCTAGTTCTCTGAAAACTAAGGAAATTCTGACAACCCTGCCAGGATAATCATTCTTACTGTGGTTTCTGCAGTTATCACCCAGAGGGCTTTTCTAAAGACATGACCTAATTCTAGAGCTATTCACAGGTACGTCATGATAGAAGAATCATGTTCTGCAAGTTACACATTCGTAAGTTATCTGGCTGTCTTCTTGCAGGAGGATTTTGCTTTTCCTTGAATCTCTTCAAGGTTTTTATATGTCTAAAGTATACCATTCTTTTGTTTTGGGGGAACAAGGGGAAACAATTCTTAAAACTTAACAGAAAACAGTTGATATTTGGAACAAAAGAATTTTCTGGAAAACCCAACTAAGAGAGCTTCTAAATCAGAGACCAGAAATGTAGCAGTGGAAATAGTTCAAGAATCCATGAGTACCAGACTTGAAAGAAAGTCCTGTTGTGGACTACAAAAACAGCTGATTGTTACCAATGTTTGAACATAACATAAGCTATTGAGGCAGGAGGACTGGGTCAAACTGAACTAGACTTTTTCCTCAGCTGTAACATTTTATAGCAAGTGCATGCACTGGAGTGGCCATCAAGACGCATTTTGTGCGAGAACAACACTGGACTGTTTTAGAACTCAGAGGTTTAGAAAAAACATGCAGTCATCTTGCTCAGCCTGTAGGAAGAAAATATTTACTAATCTTGTTTAGCTGTTGGGAAAATTCAGTTCTTCACAAAGGCAAATAACAGGCTCTCAGAATGGGTCCAATCCCCCTATCTGCTTTTGCTCATTAAAAAGAACAAGGTAAAACCTTACTAATAATATATGGTGGAATTAGAAAGGTAGCAAGACTAAAGAACAGAAGATCTGCTAGAAGACTGAATTCAAGGCAACCATGAGCAATAAAGGACAGATTCATCCCTTAGCAAAAAGTCATCCTCTCTCATGGAAACTGAGGGGTAGCCTTCCAGGCTGTTTTTGCATGACTGAAGATTTCCCACTGTCAATGTATTTAGCTTTTTAAAAAAACTGACAAAAAGCATACAACCCTTGTAAATACAACCAGTTTAGTTTTTGTTTCTTATGCTGCATCTGCAAATATTCAAAAAACATATCCAGTAGAAACACACACACATTATCACTAGATTTTTTTAAAAAATAAAACAACAGATATTTACAGGCCTATGCCACTGCCAGTTGTGAAATATATAAAAAAGTATTATCTGAACTTTCTTTTCCCAGATGATAATTTTATCAGTAGCTTGTCCAGTTCTAGCATCCATGCATCCAACCCCAAAAGATTGCCTAAAATAAGAGGGAATCTGTAGCAGTTGTAGATGCTGGGTTTGCGGGGGAACTCTCACAGGATGTATTCTTTATGCACCTAAAGGGTGCCAAGGGATCGGTGGATGGGTCAGAATGAGGTACAGGGCTTGGAACCTATGGAAAAGCGTTGATGCTTGGAATCTGACAAACTAAGCAGGATCACAGGCAAGCTGCTCTTCTTCAGTTTTTTCACAGTGAAGAGAGAAGGGTGGATGTTCTGTTCCCAACACACTTGGGTACAAATCTGATCCCAATTAAGCACCTTTCCTCATTCAGTGCAATCTCTTACAAGCATCTGCTTTCACTGAAAGAATGAGATCCCTCATATGGTAGTCAGAATATCTAATTCAAAGCTCTAAATTGAGCAGAGTATAATTTAACTTCAGAAGATTTTCATTTTTAATCATGAGCTTAATCAACAGTGAAAGATAAAAGAAAGTTCACTGCAAGCATCATATACTTTGAAAGACTATCTATAGCTATGCTGAGGGTACATTAATTGTAGACATCTGACCTAATTTTGCTGGGCAATACATGATTGATAACACGAAACTGCAACTGGTAGAACAGAAATGCCTTGCTAATTAGTCAATGCTTAATGCAGAGTTGAAACAGGCTGGCTTTGTCTTGGCTTCTTCTCAACAAGAAGAGTGCCTGAGGTTGCTGACCTTCTATCCAAAGTTCATTATGTACATACTCCAATTTCACTGACTTCCTGTCTTTTCTTTATGAGCTTATGTTCCAATAAAACTGTTAACCCTTAAAGTGCCACATAACTTTGTTGCACTCATTTCTTAAGTTGTGGCTGCATGGCAGGTGTCCATAATTTAAAATTTTTATTTCTCTACTTATTAGGCCTCATGACATGTCTGCCCTAAGCAGATGCTAGCACTGCTCTTGCCAAGCTAGTGCAGCTACTGGGATCTGCACTTCTAATACAAAATATGTAACCAATGAAGACAGGATGAATTTCAGATACAGTTGCTTGAAAACTTACTTTTTCTAGTGTTTCAATGCGTTGTTTTAAGAGTCTGTTTTCTGTCCGCAATCTCTGAAAAGCAAACAAAACTGTAAAAGCACTTAATCTGAGAAATTACATGATATATATTTAACTCTTGAAAGATGGTAGGTTACAATGACTGGCTTTGCATAACATGATGTACTGTGAGCAATGTTTATTTCAGTATCTTGTTGTGGTGTTTGAATCTGGCCAGAGTGGTTTGTACAGGGTAAACAAACTGCATTGCTGGGTCTGGACAACAAAGCAAGCCACTCTGAAACAAACTCTGTTCATAATGCACAGTGGTATATTGTGGAGTGTAACCCAGTCAATGTTTCAAAAGACGAGGGGCAAATGCCACAGGGAGAGATTTGGCTTCAAGGTCCCCTGCTGAACACAAAGCCACCTAGCAAATATCATGCATGACAACATCCTGAATTCTTAAATGTCCTGTAAAGTTTTAAAAGGAGCAGGGGAGAATCCTGGTAATCCAAATTGACTGGCAGAGTCCAGTGGTCAGCTTGCACCTGTATCACTATTTCCTGGCACCTTACTCTGCACACACACACGTGCTCAGTACTGGGCACATGCACGCATAATTACCATTACCTAGATCATCATCCATACTGAAACCCCAGAATCACTACCGGACTGATCCTAGCCATGTTTAACTTAGAATCAACACTTGGATAAAGGTTATTTAAAGGATGCAGAAAGCCCAATGGTAATAATTATCGGTGTTTACAAACTACTTGTCATCAGGATGGTCATGCACATTTTGTTGCTGAGCAGGTAGAGCCAAACTTTTGAGCGGATGTTAACATTTTGGCTGTTTGTGGGTATGCTGTTTTTAATTCATCAGTTCTAAATTCAAACTGTGACCATTCCCTTTTATTATGGGATGTATGGATTTTGTTAGATCTGTTCTATGTTTTGCAGATTGTCAGAAATCTTCATTCCACTGTCTATGCATTAACAGAATCTTATTTTTGCTCAATTACTGGAATGTGCAGTTGTGCACACTCTGCTGATGTTGGTTTTCTGGAAAAAGTAGATTTGGAAAATTTTCCAATGTTCTAAATGATGTTATTTAACATGTTTGACCCATTTTTACTTCCCAACATACATTTCTCCAATAAACACATAAAATACCTCAAACTTCATAATCAGAACTAATCAGAACTAATTTCAATTTTAAATTTATATGCAACATAAATATATCAAAAGTTTTTCCAATAGCTACAAAGTATTTTCACTAAAACATCTGCTTTGGGGGAAATTAAATTAACCACACAATATAGTTGAACTATTATACACAAGCACATTCAAAGCTTTGTGTGAAAGTCATTTTACTGGAATATTTATAAAACTGTAAAGGAAACAGCACATACTTCTGCTTATTTATAGTTTTGAAAAATGACTATACTGGAAAGAACATGTGGTTTTGTGACATATACCCAAAGATAGCTGATGCATCATATATAATCAATTTAATTTGCTTTTGTTGAGATAACTGGAGCACCTGAAGCTTCACTCACTCTGTGCACTATTTATCAGTTCCATTAAGAAAAATTGGATTCAGAAGACCTGGATGAACATCCTATTTCACAAAAAGGGTGGACTTGGGGCAGTGGGTACAGGCTGGGGAACTTTGGCAGGAGGCCAACTGCCTGGCCAGGTCCCTGGGTGAACCAAATGCTGGAACACAGAGTGGGCCAAAAATAGTTATACATTACTGATCGGGTCATGGAGAGGACAGATTGAAGGAGTTCATCTTACAAGCATTTACTGGCATTGGAGCTTATAGAATTTGTGTCGCAGAGGTTCCAGAAATGTTATAACATTGATGGAGGACATTTCATGCACCTCAGAAACTAAACATGACCTGATCAGTATTGTGTACCTATTTTGGTCCACCCTGTAGATGGACCCTTTGTGTAATCCAGCAAACCTCTTCTTGCATTCTTAAGTGAAGCAATTGGTAATCATGGTCTTAGCTTCAGGTTTTTTTTTTTCAAATATGGAAAACCAGGCAAATTCAGCATTTGTAAGTCTACTCCAGACCCAGCCAGGAGCCAACTGCACTGTGCATAGGAAGAGGTCACCATACCTTAGTTTTAGTTCCTCCAAGCACAACTGAGCACTCAGGTTTGTCAATGCTAGCCTTAGAAGAATAACTCATAGAAATCTGTATCTTGTATTTAGTCCCTCTAACAAGACTGATTTCTGTGTAACATGGTGTGGACATTTTCTATGTAAAAATATAGCTTTGGAAAAATTCCCAAACCACATTGCTGACACTTGCACAAATTTGCATTTCCAAAGACATACAAATCCCCTTAACATGTGCATTTTTGTGCTCTAGCCTATGGTGAAAAATGCAGATTTTTCAGGCAGCACTTGTTTATTTTTGTATTTTTCCACAATTCATTTTGCATAAAATTTGGGAAAGTAAAAAACATGTCTGCAATTCTGCTGAATCTAGAAATCCAAACTCACTTAAATCTGTTGCAGATTCCTCTGACATTCCTACCCTCCATGTCCATGCCCTTTTGATTAGTGTTAGTCATACCATATATTTGTGAGAGTGCATTTTGTGCAACTGATTCAAACGTAGCACACACACAAGCACCTGTTATATCCCTGGAGTACTTAATGGGTATAATCTAATGTTAGTCCCATGTAGAATAGGCCCATTGACATGAAGGAAACTTCAGTTTGTCACAATTAACTTAAATCCTATTTATTTCAATAGGCCTAGTCCACGCAGATCTAAACTGGATATGACCCAGTATTGACAACACTTCCAGCATCACCTTTCTAGATATAATTAAGCCATTTCAAGGGTAAGGTAGGGGATAAAGAGCAGGAAGAGCTGGCATTGGGAACAGCAGAACCTACTGCACCTACCTCTCATCACACTCATGTTTTAAATATAGTCTCGAAATGTTGAACGTCAATACGGTATTAGTTTCCCATACTATATTTTTCATTATTATAGAAGACAAATATAGTACTAACACAGATGACGGTGCTAATAGAAGCTAGCATGCCTCTGCAAGAGCTTGCTATTTATTCACGTGCTATGTTTGCAACCTTCCTTGCTTCCAAAGAGCTCGAAACAACAGACATTGTTCTTCACTCCGGGTAAGGGAAAATCAGCTAAGAGCCAGCACCTGGTCCAAGGTTACCCCAGTGAACTTCTTTTTGACTACAGATCCACCCAACTGACATCCAACACTTTAGCCATCACGCTACACTAATTCTCAAAACTACTGTGCCTAGAATTTGCACAATTCTACTAAGTAAAAAAAACCCTTGAACCTGATTTTGTACTATGTACTTTAGCACTTACAAAAATCCGGCACTTACCTTAATTTCAACTTGTTCCTCCATTTCCTTTGTTTTTATAGTAGTATATTCTTTTTCCAACCTGAAGAAAATTGAAAGCCATTACAAATTGTTGTTATTGTTTGCCAGGACATAATAGATACGTAACATGCACATTAGTTGTTGACACTGATTTGTAAAGTAAAGGTAAAGGTTTTCCCTTGACATTAAGTCCAGTCATGCCTGACTCTAGGGGGCGGTGCTCATCTCCGTTTCCTAGCCGAGGGAGTCAGCGTTTGTCCGCAGACAGTCTCCGTGGTCATGTGGCCGGCATGACTAAACACCGAGGTGCACAGAATGCTGTTACCTGCCCACTGAAGTGGCACCTTTTTATCTACTTGTATTTGCATGCTTTCGAGCTGCAAGGTTGGCAGGAGCTGGGACGAAGCAACGGGAACTCACCTCGTTGTGCAGATTCGAACCAGTGACCTTTTGATCAACCAGCCCAGCAGCATAGCGGTTTAAACCACTGCGCCACCTGCAGTCCCACCTACAGTCTCATACTGATTTGTATGACTGCCTAAAACATGAACATGGATATTTTGCAGTCATTAAAACAGACCTTCCTCTCCTTTACCCCGAAATGCTAAGCACAGGGAAAGGAACCGATTCTCTGGAGTGCTTTACTGGGTCTATGTCCATTCAGACACTCCAGGGTAGATACCACCACCCCAAATACAGACACACTGACATGGCAGCAGCTAGGTTAACTAGAAAATGTTATGCCCATTCAAAACGCTTTTGCCTAAATGTATATTGAGTCTGCATGCAAATAACACACAAACCTGTAAGATTGGCTAATGAACGGGGTTGATAAAAGATTGTTTTCTAACAAAAAGGTCTTAACTGTACATCTGTAGCACAGATTCTAGAGAAAAGTCAAGGAGTTGTATCCAATGGAGCCCTTTTGTTTACAGAAGACCCACTGGAGAATTCGGTGAATGAAAGTGCTGGGAAGGGCAACACGGGAGCCTGGTACTGGGGGAAGGAAAACTGACAAAAGCTGAAAGCTCTTGTTGGCTCAAATGGGCCACCCACCGCTGGATACAACACAAGAAGATTCTTTTCTTTACAAATTCCATATATACATCCTGACATAGTAGCTTAGGGACACTCTAACAGGAGTTGCAGCCCTTTCTTGATGACTGCCCTTAATAACTAAGCTTCTCATTAGCGGCCAAGATCATTTCAAAGCAAAGTGAGTGTCTTTAACTGTTCCATCTTCTGTTCCCATGTGAGACTTAGAGACATTTTTAGCAAATGAAGTTGGCAGGAGGCTGCAAGCCAATTCCAGCAGGCCAATTTTGTAATGGTACCAGAACATTTTCTCAAATTGAGAAATATATCCTTGGACACATAAAAGTTGCCTACCCCTGCTCTAGAAGGTTCCCATCTTCCACCATCCATTTTTCCAGCAGCCCCTTCTCATCTCCCTTTTTAAGATCTAGTCTGAAAACCACCCTCAAAAACTGGCTACCTATTTTGTGATTTTCTATCGATTCTGATAGGTACTATGCCACAGCTGTGATTACTTCCCCCAATCTGACCCTATGGACTAACAAGGAAGCCTATATTTTTGTCTAGAAAATGAGAAACTACTCTAAGCTTTCCCCCGACTTGCTGCTCTACAGATGCATTAGATTACAATTCCCATAATTACTAGTGATCATGAAAATTCCAGTTCAACTCATCTGGAAGGTGCAACTAGTTAATAATACTAGCACAGAAACTGCTGAGATTCTCCATATAACTTAAATTCACACAGTCTAAAGCAGGGGTGGGCAATTTGTAGACCCCTAGATAGATATTACTGGACTATAAACTCATGCCACCGCTCACTGTTATGGCTAGAGCTACTGAGATTTGCAGCCCAACATTATTCAGAAAGCCAAATGTTTTGTCTAAAGCCAAAAAAAACCTAGAAAGTGGTTTAAATATTTTGCCTCCTCATAACAATACTATGATGAGGCCCCTTCAACAAAATGTAATACCTACTTTTTCATCTTTTTTGCATTGTATTTGACCTGGTAAGCTGCTTGGATTAACTTATCTGGCCCACTGTCAAACTGATGCGGCACGACCTTCTGAAAGTGCTAAAAACAAAATCAAAGTACACAGTCAAACGTGATTGATACTGATACTGTACTCAAACTTTCCAGTGATCCAATATATTACTGCAGCACTGAGCTTACCTGTAACATCCCTTCCATATCAAGTTGCATCAATTCGGCTTGATTCATCTGCAGCAATGCTACACCAACTCGAAACACAATTTCTAAACCCTAGGAATAAGGCAAGTATTTTAGATGTGTATTTCCAATATCTAATATATCATGTTTGAAGAATAATCAATGGGATTTTGAATTAACAGGTTTACTGGAAAATGGATACAGTTTCAGTGCTACAGATTCATCTACATAGAAATGAGGATGTGAATCCACTTTAACTGAGACACAAAATGTCAAGTCTGACCCAAGCAACTACCATAACCTACACTGGTCAACATGGCTCTTAACTGGGTGAATACACAGGCACCAGGGAATAGCTTACCTCAGACATAAATATATCAAATATTCTTGTTGCGATTGGTAGTGGAAAAGATGTAAGAAAAATAGTTAAGAACCATGAGGAAGCATACATGGAGGTATGGAAACTCTGGGCTTGGAAGTGCAGATAAAGTTCTGGCAGCTGCTCCTGAAAGAGAGCCAAAAAGAGAGAGGACTTTATTTAGGAAAACCTTCAGAAAGTTGTTTCTTTGAAACAGATATCTTTTTTTCACAATGACTGTACATTATACAGGATGATCTATCTTTGTATCAAGAAAAAGACAAAGATCTATATCAAGCATATGAAGCATGTGGTGTGAATGTCACACTATGATCACGCTGTCCTCATGCGATAAAGTGAATTCTTTAGGCAAGCCACTACTTAAGGTTATCCATGTTTGTGTGAGATGATATAGAAACATCAAAACATAGAAACAAAATGAGTCAGAAGGGGTCTCCAGGACCAGCTAGTCTGACCCCAGCTCCAGCTGGCTTCACTCATGCAATACGCAACATGCGGCTGTCCAATCTTTCCTTGAACACCCTCACTGATGGGGCCTCAACCACCTCCCTTGGAAGCCCATTCCATATCCTGGGGGTCCTAACCATCGTGAAGGACTTCCTGACATCCAACCTGAAGCCTGGTTCCTTGAGCTTTGCCCCGTTGGAACACATCCTTCACTGCAGGGAAGAACAGGTAATGCCCCTCTTTTACGTGACAGCCTCTCACATACCTATACATTGCTGAAAGATCCCCTTGGAGTCTCCTCTTTTCCAGACTGAAAAGACCTAGTTTTCTCAATTTCTCCTCATATGTCATCCCTCCCAACCTGGCTACCTTTCTTATAACTAACTGTAAAGCATTGATGTTATCTTATTAAGACTATTCAAATATTGGTTAGTATGAAAAATAAAACAGAAACCAGGATGTTCACATTCCTTAGTTAAGCAGTAGACTGTAGATGAAGCCAACACCTTTCCTCCTATAGCCAGCTTTCCCAACCTGGCACCTTAAAGATGCTTTGGACTAAAACTCCTAGGATGCTTGACCATTGGTCATGTTGGTCAGGGCTGATTAGCAGTTGATCTCCACAACCTCTGGAGGAAACCAGGTTGGAAAAGTTTGCCTTAGGACACAGGAATATTTCCCTACAAATTATTTTTGTAAGCATTTTTAGTTATTACTTTCCATGTCGTTTTCCTAATCCGCAACTTCAGGCGGGTGGGGGGGGAGGAACCTAAAGCAATTTATGACACAATCCTATGCAAGTTTAGATAGAAAAAAGTCTATAACTCCTAGCCTGCCCCAGCATGTACATACAATAGGTAACAGATCTTTGATATACCTGTATCATACATTCGAACTGATACATACAAAGGCCCAGCTCAGCCATACTTGGTTTGAAGAGTTCTCTAAGCCGATAATCTTGCATCAATTTAACAAATACACAAAATGCTTCCTCCTCTGGCATCTGTTTTGAAGGAGATCAGTGTCAGCACTTAATAGTTTTATGTTATATCCATCTTGAAAATTTCCAAGAAATTCCTAACACCAACACCACATAGTCACAAGAGTTATGCAATGTATACATGGAAAAAAAATGAAGCTTCCTAGTTTTAAATTTAATACTAAATATTTGTTGCAGTATTGAAATGAGTGAAAAAAGGACATCTTGGTACTCAATCCCTCATGGCTTGATGGCCTCATGGACACCCAATTTTTTACCAGTGGAGCTATATTACAGCAAAGGAAAGGGTCTGCAGGTACCCCTTAAGTTCAATTAGCCACCGGAAAATACTGTACTACACAAAGACTTGATTTGGAGACTACTTATTACCAGGCTCAGCCCTGGTTCCTGAAGTGTGGTTTACTAAAACAAGTAAGTTCTGGCCAATATTAAGTATTGTAGCATGTTCTTTCATGATGTTTGCCAAGAGAGACCTCAGCTGTGTAAGTCTTGCTGACAGATGTTAAATTCCCCAAGTGATTTTGCCATGTTGTAAAGCTATTTCTATTGCATCCTACAACAGCTTTGTAGAATTAGTGTAACACAGTTTGCTTGAAAAAATATTATAATTGGAATTCTTTCTTTTAGCAAACAAGGGAATTATACGTAGACGTTTATTATTCAAGGGTCTAACATTCGAGAAGAAAGAGTAAAGCTCAAAGTCAGAGTTCATGAATTACTAAATAATTATGTGAAAAACACACACCTAGCCAGCAGTAAAAACTAGTTATAATATTCCACAAGAACTTCAATTCATAAAACCCGACCTACCTATAATTATTATAATTAATATTATTATTTTAATGAAGATTTGTTTACCTACCTGCATAAGAAGTAATCCAACAATAAAAGCACTTCCTTGGCAGTAGCCAACCTCACGATCTACTAAAGAATATGCCTAGAAAATTTTGAAAAGGTGTTAAGACATTAAATAGGAGAACCAACAGTATATCTGCTGTATCAAGCGGGAAGCAGGTATTCTGTGGGAGCATAGAATAAGGCAGCGGACATGAAATTCTTTTCCCTAAGGATGACAATTTTATCATTTTCAAACTCTTGCTCCTGCAGACGAAGGTGGACAGACAATGCCAGGTGACATTTAAAAGCCACAGGTTTTAAATGACTAAAGGAGGAAGTCAATATTTCTGCCCTTATCATTAATAACAGGCACAATTAAATCAATTAAATTAAATCAAATCAAATCAATCAATTAAAAGAAATAATGGAACTTTGCACAATCTGCATAAATCCCTACAAATCGCTAAGCTGCCCCCACCCTTTTAGAGAGCAAGATTTGATCCAAATAAACTCTGCACAGGATGATCTAAGCAATTATATGCAGGCTGATCTGAGGTGAAACTTGCTACTGGCTGATATGCTCCATCTTCAAAGAATCCTGGCTGGCATGGAAAAGAAAAGGGTAGTTCCCAGAAGGTGTTAAAAGGATCTAAAATTCAGATGCTGTCAAAGAAGGTCTGGGGAGCAAACAAGCCCCCAAGAAAAATTTGCAAAGAAGTCAACAATTCTAAAGAAGTCAACTATTAAAAAACAATTAAGGCAGTGGGGGGGGGGGGTTATAAGAAGTACTGAAGGCCATGTCACCCAAAGATGAAGGTGTGAAGTGCCACCAAAGCATTAAGGAATTTGCTGTTATAATTCTCTTTGTTCTCCTTTAGCACAAGAATAGGAAGGGAAAGTGCTGGCAACAGAAGGGACACACACAGCTGAAGTGAAGTTTGCGTATGGCCAGGGGGAGCTGAAAGGAAAACAGTGCCCATGCTATTTAGCCACAAGTGCCTGACAACAGTTAAGAACCAACTTGTTCCAGGTGAAATGCTTCCTTTTCTTCCAAGCACTAAACAGCTAAGGGTCAAAAGGGATAGTGCTTAAATGGTCCAAGGCTGGATAAAAGTAGATTTGTCTTTTCAAGTTCCATTTTTCATCTACTCTACACAACACTCAAAGCAGGCAAAAGCTCTTCTTGCTTTGTTTTTTTGTGCCGCTGCCTCAACTGAAAAGAAACCTTCATTTAAGCCACAGGCCCAGCTGAACATGGTCTGTAATCTGCCCAGCCAGCAAAATAGGATATGAAATATTTATAATCCAAGGCAATGGCATCCTCATCAATAGGATTCTATTATAAAGCTCTTGATTAAGTTAGCATACCACAAATACCTTGGCACAAGAGTTATGCTCTAATGATCCCTTTTGTTGCCATAAATATTGTGTATTTGTTTGCAACCCCTGCCTTTCGGGATGGTATCTGTCTATTTAGTACTTAATGTCCCCTAGTTCAAGCTATGCAAGGAAAGTTTTTCGACTCTGGATATATTCCCAAGGCCTCCATTTGCTACCTTCTCGAAGCACACAAAAAATTAGCTACCATCTTGCTGTCATACTCCTATTCAAAAGGAAACAATAGGGAATGTTTTTAGTACATTCTTATGGAGTAGAGTTAATTGACAATTTACATGAGCTCATTCTCTTGGCTGGTATAACTGTCTAGAATAGATGTGCCTAACGTACAAACAATAAGCCAATTCTTCTCTCAGCATCAGAAGCTGTAATTGAAATTGCCAAGCCATTTAAAACAAGTAGATGCCAGTTGACATGTGAATGCTCTAATATTTCAGTTATGTACATCTCTGGCTCACATGAGCCATGTGCCAGGCCAAAATGAGCAAAAGCTTTGCCAGAATATGGCTACTAAAAGCCTGACACTTTAAGAACAGCTTTAGATTGAAGCTGGGATTCCTGATCAGATCTGGAACCCATGTTACAAGCGTACACCTTAGAAATGCTGATGTCCCTTGTCAGGTCTGTCCTTTGGGGCACATCTTAGACATATTAATGTCTGCCTTTCCTGAGGGTGGTTTTTCTCTTTGTATTGTGTTGAACCCTACTGTTTTATCCCCATGTGCCTTTAGCAAACTACCTATGTGATTCCCCCACCTCCAAACTGTACACGCAACTGATAGGTTATAAATGCACCTTGTACAGACCACATTTGTAGTCACTTCAGGGACTGCCTATAAGCCACACGTTATTTCCTGTATGTCTTAATGAACTGTAAATGTTCTTTTAATTGTACACCCCCAGTGGACTCCCAAAGGGTGTTTTTTCACTCTTGTCACATGTAATATGCAAAGAGGAATATCACGGCTCTCTTCTACAGCTGCAAGAATGTCAACACCAGCCTCCAAAAAGGTACAATACAGATTTCAGATATGACTGTAACTGAGATCTGTAAATGCTATACATGTATGCTCCGCACCTTAAGAGTAAGACTCTTCTGCTGTCCATAAAGCAATGAAAATAATGTCCAAGACAACTTTAGTCCAGGGGAAAAGTGTTCATTCATTCTTCTAATGGGGTAAATGCTGCTCCCATTCAGTGCCACCACACTCCCAGTGAAGGTAAACCAAGTCCTGTAGCTAACTTTCTGTGGATACGTCACTCAGCTAGCACTCATTTTACAACAAAGTAAGACAAGCCATTACATATAATAAATATATAGAAGAAAACAGGAGACTATAGTGGATTTTACTAAAGGACCAACTAGTTTAACACCACTCTGCCTCCAAAAGAGAAAGCTCCTAAGCTAATGAACATTTATTTTTCTTTGCCACTGGCATCTGGTACTCAAATCTACCAAATGGTGCTCCCAAATGCAGAGATGACATGAATGGCTAAAAGAAATACACAGTGTACATTTAATATTTATTTTCCATTAAAAATATAACCTGTCAACTTACCTTCATTACATTAAATAAAACCTCTTGCCCAAGGCTGTCTTTTTCTTTAAAAAAATCATGCTCAGGATATGTTCTAGCAATATCCCTTCTGATAAGCTTTTCACAAGGTGAAGTCATTTTCAAGAGTTCTGAATACTGATCCTTAATTGGCATATTTTGAGCTGAGCACAAAAGCTGCCAAACTATTGCTCGGAAATGATGGGGTATCCCTTTTCGAACAAGTTCCTAAAATATTAAAAACAATGCTGATGAGCATAACTTCACTGTACTAAAAGAATAATTGAATTATCCCAATGCAGACAATTTAATTGAAAAATTTCATATTCATGTGTTAAGTTCTCTTTTTCACAAGGATGTGAGAACAGAAAGCTACATGCTCTATCAAGTATAACTAAAAAAGGGAAATGTCAAGGCCAGTGCAGATATTTCACATATTTAACCACACCTAGTTACTACTATGACTGTTCCCTTATCCCTAATTAAAATTCTAAACATACACTGAGTCTGTTCACATGAACATAAGGTGTGTGCTTGTTGCGTGATTAACGGAGTCACATAATGACACTTGCTGGTGTGGCCTGTTGCAATGTATGAACCTGTTGAGGTACAAGGTTTTAACAAGCCCATGGATAGTTGGGTTGTTAACCCCAGCCAGCCACCCTCACTAGGTCTGGGTGTCACAACAAGCCACATCAGCAATTACGTAAACCAGCACACACAGTGTGGGCAAAAGCCACTGTGGTTTATTAATCAACCAGCACCATGCAAAATGGGTCAGTGCCAAGTTAAGCCATCTTCCTGGAAATTGGGTAGATGGAAACCCCAGCGAGACCTGCTTGACACCTTACAGGCAGAAATGTGGGGAAATCACATTATCATTTGCTCAGTAAGGATATGCTTTTTTAATGCATGATGTGATTTTCAAGCCCAGTTCCAACAGTGTGCAGACAATCCTTAACCCTGCTTTCGATATTGAGACAAAACAGAATTAAAGCTCCTGCTTTGAGCCATCACAGCTTTGGAAAAGAATAACTCCCATACTGAATAATAATATACTATTCTCATATGGAAAAAATATTTACATTATCCGCTCTGATTAGATCTAAACAGTTTATTTTCTGCAGATGAATTTTTTATTATTTTTAAATTATTTTCAGCCATTTTATTGCATGTTTCATTTTTATTATGTTTCTTATGTCACTTTAGGAGGGTGGGTTTTATTTTTTAATTGAAGGGTGGCTTCAATTTCTTTTCTTTTCACACAGTGTCCTCTTCCTCCAAGGCCACAGTCGTGTCCTGATCTGTATCAGGGCACTAGATTGTAAATTATATTGTGTCAACTACCTTGTGAAAACCAACAAATCTGGATAGAAAGTACTAAGCCATTATCAACATGTGACAACGGATGTTGCTGCATCAATAGTATGGTTGGGCCACTGTCACAACATAATGGGATGAGTTTTGTTTATGCTTGTGGAGCACTTCTACGCAGATCCTATGTGTCAGTGTCTGAAAAGAGTCACTCACACACTTCACCATCCTACCCTCCCTTTCCTTTAACATTATATCACTAAGTGGACATCTTGACTAAAGACATTTGGAATTTGCCAAGTAAGTATTTGCCTGTCCTATGTGGACTGCACATTTTTTCTCTTTTCAGCCATAGGAAGCATGCTCTATTTCCTCTCACCCCCAAGTATGCTTGCATCTAAGTAGTGTTTGTTTTCACTGATATTTTGTCTTATGTTATCATTACAAAAGGTTGTTCTTGACATACTTTCTGTATGGTCAGAGAGGGTGATATTTGCAAATGCTGAAAAATAAACAAGCATGGTCATTACCACTCAACAGACCTTAACTTGCTTCTCTTTCTTTTTGCGGACGTCCTCCCACTCATTTACAATCCTCCCCCAAAGGATCCAGGAGTCTTCTTCAAGATGGCTGAGGTTGCTAGAAGCTGATGAGCTAGATACAAGCGAGGAACCACTGTTCCTTCTTGATCCATTTACCGATCGCAATGATTTGCTGTCTGTCTCCAACAATCTACAGTAGACACAAATCTGTTCAAATGTTCTGTCCTATTAAAATGCACAACAGCCCAGTTGTTTCATTACAAAACTTTAAAACATTTCCACAAAACCAAACCTGACACACTTTTTCACATGGCCTGCTTTGTTACCCCTTGACTACAGGCAGTAGAAAATAATCTGAAGTTTCATTACTAGAATCTGAACCTTATTTGTTCTTTGAATTTTTTTTTAAACACGGGAGATTATTTAATAGAGCTCATGAGTCAATATCTTAAGATATCTGAAGTCATAAAGGGGAAATGATGCACATATGGGCTTTTATGAGCATCTCCCTGTCCCCATCGGGTCAAACTAAGAACAGAAAACAGAGTATTTTTCAGGAAGAGGTAGCAAGCACAAGAAAAGTTAAGCATATCCTGCCATTCAATTGCCTTCGCATTAACAGCAGACGCATTTAGCAAAATGTGTCTACTGGTGGAATATGCAGTTCCACTCTAAATGGTTGGACAAGTTATGTTAAGCACTGAGAAGCTTAGTAAGTATCAGGAACTAATAAGATGATTAAGGCTGCAGTCATACACACACCTAGGGAATAAGCCCCATAGAACAAACAGCAAAGTCCCACTGAGTAAACTGGAATAGGACTGCACTGTCAGTCAACCAAAACAATGTTTATCATCTGCTACTCCTTAGGAAAAATTTACTCTTACTTTTTCCCAGGTGAGGGCCATATAAAGCAGTCCTCTTTCACTTACGCACTGTAGACCACTTTAGTTTTTATGAAGCACCTTTGAGACATATGATTTACTAATAACCTAAACTTCTTTTATTTTGACTATTCCTCATTTTATAGTTATTGCTCGCTGGTTAATATCCATACTAACTGGGACTTTCCATTCAGCTGCTCTGCAATGCAACGAACTGGACCTCAACACTCATGCGCATTCTCCTCTTCCTCCTTACATTCCTCTCAAAATACACTGAACATAGATTGCTAATCGTATTGTACATGCATACAAGGAATTAGTCATTTCCTCATGAGCCTTAGAGAAACACTGAAGTGTTTTTCAAATGAAATATTCATTTAAGGTGTTTCCCTAAAACAGCAGAAGAAATCATGCTGAAAAACGTGAGTTACATGCATTGCTGGTATCTCAGTACATCCTGAAAAGCCAGTAACCAACACTTGATCAATTTCCAGGTATCTGACTGCAATTGCCAGCACGGAGGAGAAGGGCAAACCCTCAGAAATTGTCAAGCTATGCCCCACTTATGACAAGTCTACTTCCTTTTGCTAGAGATTTAAGATTTCACTGGGCAGACAGAGTCAATGAGGGATGGTGTCATACAAAGCTCAGTTCCACTTTTACTTCCTTAGATTTTTAGCATTTCAAACTATTATAACCTTATGAATGAACCCTAACACACTCATTTCTCCCTGTATATACACACACCTAAGGCAGCTTCTCACTCAGTCCAAGAAACACAAACATGGATTATCAGTGCAAAAAGAAGAAAAAGGCTTAGGACAGGGGACGTTATACAGGCAAGAAAGGTGAGAAAAGGAAAGGGAGTCAGTGAAAAAGTTCAAGGAAAGCAAGATTCAGAACTGTAACCGTTCCAAGGCTCTCCTCTAACAGTGTTATTTACTCTCATGTACAAGTGACTATAGCAGGTACTACTCCGCTTCTTTAATTTTAAGAATATTGGGATCAAAAAGTTAACAAAGCTTCATCTTGTTCCACCAGGTAAAAGAGCAGTGCTCAGTATGTTTGAAAAAAACTAAGCAACCATTTTTATTGCAAGCTTCATGGTAAACAAGTCCAAACTCCAGATAAACTTGGGAAGCACAAAATGAACTCTTAAAGGATATACTTAACATTGCAAATAATAAGCTTGCCAAATTGGGCTGACAGACAATGTTCATATTATGAAGTATTTACCATAATTTTATGGTGTAAATCTTACCTTGATAAGCTCATTGCTTTCTAATGCAGGACTTGCCGTTTCAAATACTGTAAGTATTCAGCAAAAAACAAACTCTTTCATTCCATCAATGATTTACCTTCTACAAATAGAAGTCTATATCCATTAGGAACGAACCACTCCAACATTTCTTGGAGAAGAAATTAACTCAATATGGGGCCAAATATCACTACTAGGAGTGACAATTTTGTACATGTCAAGAGAAAGTATTCCCATTTCCCTTTTTTTTACACTTCCTTTTCTGACTTTTTTTTTTTTTTTGCACATGCTCAGGTCAAAGGACTTGTTTGCTTTTCTTTTTAAACCTCAGTGACAAATACGTAACTGACTCTCTTAGAGATCCAAGAGCTGTTTAACACACATATTTAAGGTTCCTCAGTTTTCCAAGACAGCAAGATAGCAAGGGGGCATGGCAACCCCATCATATAGTCCTTCCAGCACTGCTTTAGTTTTCAGATCAAAAAGGAATTATCGTTTTTAAAAGAACTTATATAATATGCCACATCAGGGATAGGGTACTTTTTCAATAGAGAATAGAAGTTACTCAAAATATTGAAAGGAGATATGGATAAATTGGCCCATCCAAAGCCTGATGGTTGGGGGGAAATACTGGGAAAGGCAGCTGCAGAGGATGGAAGTGTCTGTGAAATGACATAACTGGTGGGACTGGTGGTGGGACCATCTATTTCTGGTTGGCTATAGCACAGAAGCACAACCCAACTATAAAGAACAATGAAAAGCATAAAAGGTGTGTTCGTAAGATAGTTGATAACCACCCATATATTCAAATACTACAGGCAAAGCACACTTCAAAGTTAAATTAAAAGTTAAGGTATTCAAATAATGCCATATAGAAGGAATAGCTTTCATCTTGGTGATGAGTTATGGATACTACAGGTACCTCAATAGTGGCTAGAGTACTATTGTTGCTTCTATCTGCCTCACCTTTCTGCATTAAGCACGCAAAGACTGGGTTCACACCCAACAAACTACCGTGAGTTATTTTCCCTGGGCATTTATTGAAAATGCCAGCCACCATTTTTAAAATATAAGCCATGGCAGAGGAGGCAGGGCAAGGCCTGCTGATAAGCGCAAATTCAAGTAAAAAAGTAGCTGATGATATACACATATAAAAATGATAAATTTCATTTTTCAGCAACAAAATATTGCTGTCCAAATAGCAATGGTGGTATGGAGAAATAAGCCAGGAACATGTAGTGTTATCTTAAAGGAAGAGATTCCCCCTCCAGTTCTGTACTGTCTGAAAAGCCTTGGATTTACTGATCTCATTCATATAGTACAGGATTTCACAGAAACAGGTTAAAGAACTGCTTTCAACAATGAATGCAACTCGTGGACTTCCAGATGTTGTTGGTTCGCAGCTACCAGTCTGGCTTCTTATTGGCTGTATCGGCTAGGGCTGATGAGAATTGCAGGCTGATGGGAACTGCAGTCCATCTGGAGATAAGCAAGTTGCTCACCTCTAGCCTGAACTGCAGATATTATAACTTGCTATCATACAACTCGTGTATTTGTTCAGCGCGTTATTAATCCTGTTCAATATAACTGCCTCTTCACATATCAAATGAAGGGCTTTCATTTGGAACTATTTATTTACTTTTCTAAAGGAAAAGTATCCTTTTCACTGTTCTTTGGTATATGTAGAACCAAAACTGTGAAAACAAAGGGAATATGCAGAAAGCCAATTTATATAATTTAGGGCATAATCCTGTTTAGATAGAAAGGAGTCCTATACCTCCCAGCATTCCTCAATCAGTACGATTAACATGGGAATGCTGGGAATTGCAAGAAGTGTTTCAATCTATTCCTCTACCTTTTGAAAAACCCTGCTAATTTTTAAAGAAAGACAAAGGGGCCTACTTCTTAGCACAGGCGGCTGAAGATTCTGCATCCCATAGGGTGCATTAATTTCACACCTTTCTTTTTCTGTATTATGGTAATAGAAAAAAATTAAGAGATAACCGGTTTGATAATTGTTAGAAACCCTGTGTAGGTTCTGCTTCATTTGGTCTCAGTTAACTCTGACCAGAAGTTAAATGATCTGAGCAATTAGGCATGAACTGAGCTTTGTGATGTGCCAAAGACACAGGTATCAATATGGATAGAAGATCACCAGCAGGCCTTCCTGCAAATGCCAGTCTCCTAGTAGCAATTAAAAAATGCTAAGGCAAACTATTGCTCAAGTCAAGAGCATTTAAATTTTTGTTCAATAAATAATACAATTTGAGGACATTAGCCTGTTTTTGCATTTAAGCCCATTCAGAAGGCAGAAAAAGAACTTCTACAGTCTTTAAAGCAGTTATTAAATTTTGTTGAGACTGTAGTGCCACAATATTTTAATATGACAAAGGCCTGGCCTGTTGGGAAGAAATAGGCAGTTCAATATAAATGTAAGGTATGTTGCGTGGACTAGGGGAAATATCCCATATGTTTTTGAAATAAGATGGAAAGTTGATGATTAAAGGAAATAAAATGTTCCACAGTCTTGAATACAGCTAGTTCAAATGTCCACGAAAGTTTATCTTTTTTAATAAAACAAACTACTCACCCGCATGACCCAATGCATTGTAGGCTGTCAGGACCCACACACCTGGTGACACAGGCATCTTACTGAATTGTTGCACCCAGGCGACAGGCTAACTGCCAGGCTGACCCCACGCAAGTAATTATATGCGTTATAACTGATGGCCAGATAGATCAACTGCAAAACATATAATCCACTGGAACTGATTTTATACCTCCAGAATACTCAAGTGTACCACAAGTTCTTTCCAATCTTTAGAAGAAAGTTCTGTTTAGACTGTACTGAAATCTCTCTCTTAGCAGACCATTAACTGTTCATTTCCTTTCCACGCCGCTCCAGCCTTACGTAAAAGCCAAAGACAGACTGCTACTCACCTGTTTTGTTCTTCTAACTTAGCCAACAACTCTAAGTCATCAGGACTCAGCTCTGCTGGGGATGATGGAGACAATGCTGGAGTAGAGAGTGTGGTAGAGGAGGATGTAGTGTGTAATGAGGCAGATGGACTTGCCACCTGACTGGCCATTTGACTGACAGTGTTCTTCACCCATGAGAGAGTAGAACTCAGCTTCCCTGAAACCTTGTCTGTCGCCACCTGAAGCAGGGGAAAAAAAACAAGCACCTAGCATTGAACAGCTCCCTGGTTAGAACTGGAAGCACCACCACAGCTATTCAGTTGCATATCAGCAAGGTGTTATTTTGGCCTTGAGAGAGTTTCCCTTGTCTGTTTTTGTTCTTCTGTCCCCTTCCCTATCTATTGCCACTGCAAATAATAATGAAGTACAGGGTGAACTGCCTAATTATGTGTCGGCAACAAGTCATCTCAGATATTCTTGTAGATTTTCTGATTCTCTCATATGTGCTTCACAAGAAAAAGCAAATGAAGGGTTAAACAGAAAAACAAGCACCTTCAAGCTCTAGAAAGCTGCATTTCCAATTAGTAAACATCTGGAACACGCTAATAATGCCCAGGCATGTTATCAGCCCTACAGCAAACCTTTAATAACCAGCCTGTACCTATCAGTCATATTATTATTAATAATGGTATAAAAGCTGCCCATTAGCATCATTCTCTCTGGGAAGCCATTATAATAAAAGTGTCAATAACAACATTAAATAAAATACAGTTAAATATTACAATAAATAAACAAGATGAAACACAATACACACACACATATAATCAGATAAAAATATAAATTAATAAAATAAATCAAAACAGTGCCATGAATTTAGATGGTCTTAATGCCATAGGTACATCAAAAAGAAAAGTTTTCATCAGGAGCTAAAAACTCAGTAAAGTAGGTGCCTAATGACTCTCCAATGGCAGGGCATTCCACAATTGGGGTGCCACCACAGAAAAGGCCCTCCTCTTTGCAACCTCCCCCTTGATCTCCTTAGGGAGAGGAACCTGTAAGAGGGCCTCCACTGATGATCTCAAACATCATCTGTAGCACCTGAAAAAAGAAAGAACCTGTTCTAGTTCATATTCATATATTGATTGATTGATTGTTTCACCATATATGCCGCTATATTACTCCACACTTGGGCTCTCTGAGGGGCTTCCTGCTCAACTGGAATTGATGGATATTGCTGCAATCTTTGTCACTGCCAATAAGAAACTCCATAGCCCTCCAAAACAATTGTGGAGAGTGGGCTGAAAAAGGAGGGGCTGAAAAACACCCTTAGCAAGCAGAACCTTACTATTTCTCAGGGAAGTCCATGTCTCCCAGGTGTATCCTAGGACAGTTTTTTAACAGTCCCCAAGGTGCTGCCAGCTCAGGAATGTGCAAAATTAGAAGGCATTTCCTGGAGCGAGAGAGCTAAATGGGTCCCAGTGATCGTTTGGATGTCCTTGGAAGCAACTCCTTTCTGCCCTCAGTTCTGCATGCTACTAAAATATGGTAGCACCTTGGGAAGGAGCATTTGAGAGACTGGGCTTCCCCTAAACATTCCAGGGATCTTGCTGTCCTCCTTTGCACAAGGACTGATATCCCCAGCTGTTTAATAGGTACCAAATGCTTCCAATTGACAGCAAGCAGGGAGATATCTACTTAGCTGCATCCTTAGGGGAACAATTGCCACAGTGGGTACCCACGGGACTTTGCCTAACCATTAGTCATCCCAGCCTTGCTCACTGCTGCACACATGTAAAGGTAACCACCCACAGTCGTACAAGGGTAGCATTTTTTAAAATTAGTTTTCACAAATATATGTGAAAATTAAATTAGGGTTTTCAAAAAATAGCATCCCCCACTGGGTACCACTGGTGCATCTTGCAGGGACTGCTCAGGGATAGTTAAACTGGAACCATGAAAGCCTGCTTTAGAAGTGGCTTTTATGATTTTTTAAAAGGTGTGATCAATTGACCGTGCACCAAGAACAGCCCACAGAGGAGAGGGGAGGAAACATCGCTGTTCCTGTGGGCCCCCGAGAAGACTGTGGGGGGAGGGTGCTGAAAAGAGAGAGGGTGTCCAGGGAACCACAATGTGCCTGCTCATGCGCTGGGCACATCATGGACCTACAAGTGAGTAACTTGTGTGCCGGTCTGGGTTTCCATGCCATGCAAACCCAACTCAGTGCTAAATGGAGTGGTCAAAGCACTTCAGATAGGCTGCACACAGGTGTGAGGGTGCTTCCTTTTTTTTTCCTCCACTGCAGAGCAGAAGTTACCTTTGCATCTGTCTGAGTCTAACTATACAAGGCCTTAAAAGCAATGTCAAAGGGTGCTCAACAGTGGCACTCTCTTTTTTTTTTTTTTTTTGAAGGAAAAGCAGCCAAATGGACCCCCCCTGGGGGGGGCAATCAAACAGGAATATCACCCCCTCTTCTCTGCCCCTGCAACAGACAGGCAGACACTCTAGTCATCAATGCTCCAGTTCCCCTTGATTTTGTTCAAAGGGCGGTCGACGCCGTTTGGGGGCCGAGCGGGGGGCTGGGCTGGCCAGGGGCTTTTGTTGAAATTGGCCCGCCTACCGTTGAATGTTAGGGAAGGGGAAGGTTTTTTTTTCCTCTCTCTTTTCTTTTAACTGCTTTTATAATTTTATTCTGTTTTAATCTGTTTTATGGAGTTGTCCCTGGCCATGTCGACGTTTGTTTCCTGGGGAGAGCACGGGCGCTGCCATTGGCGTGGTCATGGGCAATGGACGTAACAGCGGTGGGGGCTTAACGTGTCCGCGTAGAAGAAGGAGGGACAGATGGCTGACACCTGTCCCTCTTTCTGGTTCTGCCCCCAGCCAGAGGGTGCCAGGTAGCCTTGTCAACCGCCCCTCAGGCCTGACGGTGCTGCTGCTCAATGCCAGGTCGGTCAATAATAAATCTTCCCTCATCCATGACTTGATTGTGGAGGAGGGGGCCGACCTGGCTTGCATAACGGAGACCTGGGCGGGAGAGGGGGGGGGATGTTGCCCTCTCTCAACTGTGCCCGCCCGGGTATCTGGTTCAGCACTGTTCACGCCCAGAGGGGAGGGGAGGGGGGGTCGCTTTGGTTTACCGAGCCTCCATCTCTCTCACGGGACTTCCGGTTCCTTCGAGGCCAGGGCTGGAGTGCCTCTACTTGGTGTTGGGCGAACGAGACAGATTGGGGATTCTGTTGGTGTACCGTGCACCCTTCTGCCCAACAGTCTCCCTGTCTGAGCTGACGGAGACCGTCTCGGACCTGGTGTTGAGGACCCCAAGGATGTTGGTCCTGGGAGACTTCAATCTCCATGCCGAGTCTGGTCTGATCGGGGCGGCTCAGGACTTCATGGCCTCCATGACGGCCATGGGGCTGTCTCAACATGTCTCTGGCCCAACCCATGAACGTGGACACACTCTGGACCTGGTTTTCTCGACGGGGCAGGAAGAGGGTGACCTGAGGGTGAGGAATTTATGTTTGACTCCCCTATCATGGTCAGATCAGTTCCTGGTGAGGTTTGTGCTCTAGAGCGGCCTCTCCCTCTGTAAGGGTGCAGATCCGATTGTGTGGGTCTGCCCCCAGAGCCGGATGGATCCGGATGGATTCCTGAAAGCCCTGGGGGAGTTTCCGGCTGACAAGACTGGTGCTCCTGTCGAGGCTCTGGTCGAACTGTGGAACGGGGAGATGACCAGGGCTGTGGACATGATCGCTCCTAAGCGTCCTCTCCCAGCGGGCTCTGCCCGGTGGGAGA